TTTTTAACTTTTGGCCAGATGTTAAAATTCCTTTTTTTTCTGAATCCTCAAACCCCCCTAATTTGTTTAATACAAAATATATATTCCTACCTTTGAAGCCACTGTTTTCAAAAAAAAAAACAATTTTTCAACGCAAAACAAGCAAAGATATGGCCAAAAAGTATTTTGTCTCTGACCACACCCCTTCCAAAGGGCTTCTCTTGTACTAGCCGGTTCGCAAAGCCGCTGGTGTGGTTTCAGTCAGGGTGCTAGCGACAGCCGAAAAAAAGGCTATTTTTTGAGGTTGTGGTTGATTTTTGGGGTCACATTTTTGGGGACTAATGACGTTTATAATATTGTTGGTATTATAATATAATACTATATCAGTCTGTCGGGAAAATAATGTGGAATTGCAAGACATGTCTCGTCTCTTCGCGCACTAAATCCCCAGTTTGCCGTCACCAAATCGATGACATTCGATTCCTAGACCCGAAAAATCCACATTATTTTCCCGACAGACTGGTAATATGGTAGTAGGCGAACAATACGGCAGAATATTCAAAATGGTAATCTCAGAGTGCTTTCTTCAATGCATTTTGTTATTTTTCGCTGCAGTTTTCCTCTCAGCCAGTTAGTCATTTCATTGTTCTTTGCTTTTGTTTGTAGTCAGCCAACTGTTTTTGCCAAATTCGATTAAATAAGGTAACTATAGGGCTTCGAAAAATATTGTGGATTATTTTTTCAATCTTCGTAGGGACAGAAAGAAGATTCTAGACATTTTTTAGATTAAACTTTTGGGGGTTTCCTTAATCGCTGACTCAAATTTGGATTTTGAAGACCCATTTCTTCCATTTTCATGTTATATTTCGTGCATAGCCGATGTAAACTTGATAATGTAGCTCAAAATTGCTTCCGATTCGCCTTTTCGGACCTTATTTTTACTATTTAAAATGCTATTCTGCATCCCATAACTTCTTAACGACCTGCACGTAGATTAAGCGGGGTTTTCGCACGGAAGAATGTAATCAAAAACTTTTTATGTTCATTTGGTACTCCTTCCTGAATATGCAATTTTCATCCGATTATTCGCTGAATGCATAGTTTCTCTTTTTTCTCTCGAATTAATCTTTATTCGCCCGTATGAAGTGATTCGCAAAGAGTGTGGGAAGCGGAGGCTGCAACGAGGAAATGGTAGAGCGCTTAGCGAACTGCTTGCGGTGGGATGCTGAGAAATATTTTTGGATTGGCAAAAGACGAACTTCATGGAAGCATTTTAATTTTGTCGGGAAAATAGTGTCGGGACGTCGCACCTTGGAATCGCCCATTATCGCATTGCGACGGCGGGCCGCAGCTGGAGATTTGGCGATAGCGGCGAGGCCAGACATTTTGTTGCGACTACCCGCCGTTATTTTCCCGACAAATTGATGGCCATATAGTTCGTAGAATTTTTTCGGCGAGGTCGTGGGGCTTGCATGAAAATACATGTCGCTGTTGCAAAAACAGGAAGTCGCAGACGTATGCGAAAAAAGAAGCAAACGCTCTGTGAAAAATTCTACGTACTTTATGGCGCAACTAGTATCAGTCTGTCGGGAAAATAACGGCGGATCGTCGCACCTTGGAATCGCCCATCATCGCTTTGCGACGGCGGCCGCCGCTGAAAATTTGGTGTGCGATAGCGGTGAGGCGAGACATTTTGCCGCGACGACCCGCCGTTATTTTCCCGACAGACTGAGAGTACTTTTTTTTGGGAATCCACCTGCCCTATCGATCGATCTATTCACAAATCTTCAAAAACACTGATGCTGATTTACTCTGCTTCTCTCTGACATCAGTAGGTCGGAAAAAATAAAACCGCTCTGTCGCTGCACCGAGCAGGTCGCTGAAGCGAAAAGAAATTTGATTTTGCCGCAACACAATTAATTTTCTTGGCGGAGATGCAATTTTCCATGCGACAGAGTGCTCATTATTTCCCCGACATACTGATAACATCTGGCTGTAGAGTAGATAGTGGCAAGTCATCGCGCCTAGAATCGCCCATCATCGCTTTGCGACGACTGGAAATTTGGCGAAACACTTCGCTGCGACGATTTTTCCCGACAGACTGATAAAATCAAAATAAGGTTCCAAAGGGTTCGAAGACGGTGCTCAAAAACTGTTGTTACTTTTTGCATTATTCAATTTGCAACATTTCCTGATTTAGTTTTTATAAAATTTTTGGCGTTCCAAAAAACCTTTGCGCCGGGAATTATGCAAATGTTCCATTTTTTGGAAATTTTTAGTATGGGGAAATAAAAAAACAAGACATGGTCGTGCAGGAGATAAGCTTCTTAAACACGCGGCCTTAGCTTATCCCGATGTTTTTTGCACGTCTTATTATAATTCCGACTTACAAAGTGCTAGGCGGGCCAAAAAGTCTTGCCATGTTTTCGCACGGCGCGGACGGCGTCGCGAACTGGCCTTGCGCGACAAACAAGGGTGCGAATGAAAAGTACGCTGTGCTTTGATTGCCCTTTTCAAAAACATTCGCTTTGCACTTGTCCGCAGTCTGTCGGGAAAATAACGGCGGGCCATCGCGCGTTGGAATCGCCCATCATCGCTTTGCGACGGCAAGCCGCGGCTGGGGATTTGGTGCGCGATAGCGACGAGGCGAGACATTTTGCTGCGACGACCCGCCGTTATTTTCCCGACAGACGGAAGATGGTTCGCCTCTGCGAAGAAAGAGTACATTCGCGCATCAAATCCCCAGCCCATCATCGCTTTGCTTGTCGTCGCAAAAGCAAATGATGGACAATTCCAAGGCGCAAGTAGCCGCCACTATTTTCCCGACAGACTGATACAGTGGCGGACAGGATCCAGAAATGTACCATTTAGCATCCGAGGAGTTTTGAAAACGCTACAAAATACCTCCCTCTCCAAGTAAAAAGACTCCAGTTTCAAAAGCGCCCACTCTTTTTGTGCGCCGCGCTCTCCAAAAAGAGGTTTCTTGGTTGGTAGAAGAATGTCTCGAAATTACAAGGGGCCTAATTTCACCATCATTTCTTATACAGTGAAGGACCTGATCCAGTGGCAAAAAACGTAACATTTTGCATCCGGGAAGTATCAAAAATGTGGCAAAATGCTTCCCTCTCCAAGTGAAAAAAACCCTTTCCCTCACAAAAAGAGCGGGCGCGCTTTTGAAATCGGAATTTTTTCTCTTGGATAAGGAAGCATTTTGCCACATTCTTGATACTTCCCGGATGCAAAATGGTGCGTTTTTTGCCACTGTATCAGGGCCCCCACTATATTTGTAAAATCAATAAAAGCAGCGTTTCGTTTGCCCGATTCTCCGCATTTTCCGTGCCCTCTCGCAAGGTAGATTTTTGTAGCACTTCGCTAGTTCTTCCGGAAAGTCGCCGGACTGAAATCGGCGACATGCACTGCGCAAAAACAAAGTTTTCTTTGCATTATGCAGTTTTTTGCTTTTTGCACCGTGCAATAGGCTTTTTTGGGCTGCCATCCGCACCCTAAATATTTCGCACAGTCTGCCTGCCAAAAGCCAGTCCAGCGATTTTCCGGAACGACTAGTATTATCATAAGCATCAAAAACAACTCATTTACCTCCAATAACACTTAAATTTCTACGACATAACCCAATATTTCCCACCACTTTTACGTTTTGATACAATTATCCGCTCGTGGGTCTCGACCCGCTTTCACAACCCACTCTCGGCAACACAATTATCGTTAAAATTGTATGTTCACTCGCTGACTCCTCCTCCATTTAATGAGCTGGTTCGTTAGTGGGGTTTTATGGGCAAAGTCTCGTGGCGTGTTTGTTTGTTTTAACCACCACCTTCAGCCTACAACGTGTTCGTTTGTAGGTTCTCGGAATTTTCACCTTACCTTACATTTAAAAAGGCCTATTTTTAGCCCATTTTGGCGGCTTAAAAGGGCTTTCGCAGGGAGTTCAAGTGTTGCAAAGCTGTTGGGATATTTTTTGAGATATTTTATCAGTTTGTCGGGGGAATAACGAGCACACTGTGGCTGTGCCGATCGCTGAACTGAAAGCAATTTGATTTTGCCGTGACACAATTCATTTTCTCGGCGGCGATGCGATTTTCGATGCGACAGAATACTCATTATTTTCCCGACAGACTGTATAATTTTTAACGAAAGCAGAAGTAAAAACCGATTTTTTCTGACGTACCCAAAGTGCAGAGAGAGGTTTTTTGTCACTTTTGTCCCAATGACATAGCACATCGCGCCCGGAAAGATTGTTGTTCAAAATGGCTTCACAAAATTCAAAGTTCAAGTTTGATAATTTTTAATGGGACAGAATGCTCATTATTTTCTCGACACACTGACTACATTATCGGACAGTATCGGTCCGTTGTGAAAATAATGAACATGCTGTAGCTGCACTAATCGTGTCGCTGAGGTAAAAAGCGATTTGATTTTGACAATTCATTTTCTCGGCGGTGTTCCAAGTTTCAACGCGACAGTGTGCTCTTATTTTCCCGACAGACTGACTTCCCAAGTCCAAACCCATGGCAAAACGTGCGGGTATTTTCTCGATTTTTGTAGTAAATATTTTCCCCTTTGTGTATACAAACTTTTGTCATCAGTACGTAGGAAGAAACTATAATTGTCTACGGGGAAAAGCAATTTTCTTTTAAAAGGTTTTGATGTCCGAAACCCACGAAATCTGCCGCCCAATTTTCTAGTTCAAATGAAAAATTGGCCAAGTTCGGGTGAACTTTCTCTGGCCGCTCTCGAATAGTGCTTTCCTGTTAAATGATTTTCCGTTTTTAAGGTCCTCTTAACATGTATAATATAATACATTTTGGTGTACATACATACCTTTATATGTATACCAAAAGAGCGCTCTGTCGCGTGTTGCTTTATACAATCCAACATTTTTGCCGCGTCTAGTAAGCCCAATATCTCAATCTTACCATGACCTGAAGCCGTTCTCTTTCAGAATGCCCCTTCCGATGACTGTGCACTGAAAGCCCACCGGTTCGCAAACCCTCACAGCCGTGATGTGCGAGCTCTCCGATCTGACGGCCGAAGGCCAGTTGCGTTCCGCCATCCGCTACGGCGTCATGGCCGTCTTCGGCGGCGCTGTCGCCATCTTCGGTTGCGGCGCCAACGCGATTTTGGCGTATCTATTTATTGGGAAGTTCAACTACCGCCACTCGCCATTCTTCTTCATGGGATTTGTGGCGTTCTTCGACACCCTCATCGATGTGATGTACCTCTTGGTTAATGTGAGTAAACAAGTTTAGAAAATTAATAAATGTAATATGAAAGTAGGGTAGTGTGAGAAGTAAATTTCTTCAACTACAACGCTCAGACTTTCATGAAACTTGGCACAAACTTACACTAATTCTTTCTGAGGATGATGCGAGATTCCTAGTTCGCGCTTTGCAGAAACTATCGAGATTTTAAGATTGAAAAAATTTTTCTGGCAAAATTTTTACACGCAATATCTAAATTTTTCTGGCAAAATTTTTACACGCAATATCTTCTACTTATTTCTACCGTAGAGTGCAGCAAAAAAATCATTTTTTTTCCGCACGAAACTGGCAAGACTGATACTTCAGATGTTGCCAAAAAGTGTTTTTATCTCTGACCGCTCTCCCTGTTTTGCCCACTCTCTCGACGACAAAGGTCGTTGAATCTTTCTGCTGTCCCAAGGTACAACTAAATTTTCTCTCCCCTAACCCAAAACGTTTGTTTTCTCCCTGACCGCCCTCCACGTTTTGAGTACTCTCTCAGTGGAAAAGATCGATGACTATCTCGGCTATGCCTGCAAATCGCAAGCCCAAATATTGAGGAATTGATATGCAGCCTCTACTAGGGTTGTGTGCAAAATTTAAAGCAAATCTGCGCGTCGCACTTCAAATATTAGTCGGTCGGGGAAATAATGAGCACTCTGACGCTTTGAAAATTGTATCGCAAATGAATTGTGTCGCTTTAAAATCACATTGCTTTTCAGTTCAGCGACGGGGTCGGCGTAGCGACATTGTGCTTATTACTTTCCCGACAGACTGATACATACTTCCCCTTTTCAGCTTCGTATTTTACAATGCTATTTTTTAATACCTAAAGGTATTACACTAACATAAATGCCCTTTAGACCCTTCCAATAAGCTCCCAACAATTTCTCTGGAAGTCCATCTACCTTTTATGGCTCCAACACGCCCAATGGTTGCTGGTGTTGGTCCAGATCTTCAAACTCGCCTCCACATTTTGCCTTGTCATTGCCAGCTACGAGCGCTACCATCTGACCAAACATTGGACCACCAGCGGCTTCGATTATCGGACTCGATGGATTTTGCTGGTGCTGATCGTGGGACTGGCAGTGTTTATCAAGGTGTTTCATCCAACTGTAAGATTTTTTGCGGGTTTCTATAGTGTCATGGCCGTAGAAATGCGAATCGCCAAGATTCAACAACCTTTGCAAGAGAGCTCAGAGAACTATTTTCATAGTTTCTTGGCGGCTGTAAACTTGCGGACAACGATTTTGCGGGAGCAGCTAGAAGAGCCGCGGAGATTCTATGTTTAGAAAGCAGCCAACGTTTGCTTACAGCAAGAAATTCTAACGATGGATTTGGCAGTTGGATGTTGCCAATTAAATTTCCAGGTGCATAGGTGACTTGAATTGTTACCACAAGGCGAACCAGGCATTTTTCAAAGTTCAAAAACCAAAAAGTCTTTTCATAAGGAGAGGGAGGTTTTTTGCCACATTTTTGATACGTACCGGATGCAAAATGGTACATTTTTTTGACACTGGAACCGGTCCCCTACTGTACGGTGGAAAAAGCCGTAATTGTAAAGGGTAAATGGCTGCCCGCAAGGCGGTTGTCCGCAAGAGTCGTGTCAGGGATCGCTGGACATCTCCATTCAAATTTCATCTCCATTTTCAGCTGTACGTAACGGTCCGCCGACCCGAATGCACCTCGCTCTTCAACCGCCTGAATGTCGAGCGAATGGCCGCCACGGACAGTCTGACCTCGTTGTTCGACGTGCTGGTCGTGGCGTTGCCCTTCTTCACCTTGATCTTCCTGAACGGCGGGATTGTCTACATGATTCGACGACAAAACGTCCAACAACTCCGATTTCTGATCACGGAATTGACGATGGGAAAGGACCTGACCGAGGTCCGAAAACAGAACCTACGCTCGGCGACGAACACGCTGTTGTTCATTATAACCACGTACCTCATCGCTAATACGCTGGGATTCTTCATGACCATCGTGGAGTATTTTTACCCGAGTAAGCGAGGAGTGGGGTTAATCTTTGCGGAGAGTAAATTTTAATGAAAATGGGGACGAATTGATCAGTCTGTCGGAAAAATAATGAGCTCCTTCGAAGCGAAAATTGCATCGCCGCCAAGAAAATGAATTGTGTCGCGGCAAAATCAAGTTGCTTTCCAATTCAGCGACACGATTAGCGCTACGACATTGCACTCATTATTTTTACGACAGACGGATACACGAGGCAAAAAATACTTGTAATTTCTGAAGCGCAGAAAACATTGCCGCAATTAAAAGGTTTCGTTGTTCAGAGGTTCCTTTGGCCCTTGTCAGTCCATCGGGAAAATGATTAGCACTCTGTCGCATCGAAAATTGCACCAGCCGCCGAGAAAATGAATTGTGTCGCAGCAAAATCAAATTGCTTCTCAATTCAGCGACGCGGTTGGCGCAGCGACCTTACGTTCATTATTTTCCCGATAGACTGCTTGGAAAATCAGGAGCGGTAGTACAAACCCCCAGTCCAGTTCAGACCCCCATGCTCCAGTACAAACCCCCTCATCCAATCTGAAAAAGTGTGTCGTCAGTAAGCTTTTTGAGGATGCTGTCGGAGCTCAAGACAACGGATCATCGTTGCTCTAAAACGTAGGGGGTTTGATCTAAACGTAGGGGATTGGATGTCCAACGTTGGGGGTTTGTTATACGACGACGGCCTGAATGTGAACGCCAACAACATGGAGGATATTCTGGGGCTCTAATTTTCATTTTTGAACTACCTTTCCCGGAGGGCTGAACTCGGAAAGCCCCGAAAATCAGTCTAATTTTTGTCCGACCTGCCTTCCTTATTTAACGTGTTCCCTTGTTGAGAAGGCCGTTCAAATTCCGCAGCTGCCGCTGACAAAGCACCAGGCTATAGTGATCAATTTTCGACTTAAAAATCTTGGTCGTTCCTACAAAGCCCGAGCCTTGTAGACTATTTAGCTTCGACTTTTAATAACATATTTTGTAACTTTCCAAACAAAGTCATCATTTCCTTTTCCAGACTACTACGAGACCTACTATCCGCACGGCTATCGGATGGCGTCGGATCTGTCGAGCCTGCTCACAGTCATCGGGAACGCCCTCCGATGTCCGGCGCATCTGATCGTGAACTCGGAGATCCGCGAGAAAATGTTCGACCTGTGCTGCGTGCGGTGGCGGCGGATGGAACTGAAGGTAAATCATCTGATCAGCCAGGTAGGGCGGACTCAAATTCAAAAAAGAAATTTTTTGTTTTTGTGAAGGTGGTTGGTTGCATTAACAGTTTGTCGGGAAAATAATGAGCACTCTGTCGCATCGAAAATCGCATCGCTGCCGAGAAAATGAATTTTGTCGCGGCAAAATCAATTTTCTTCACTTCAGCGACGCGGTCGGCACAGCGACTTTGCGCTCATTATTTTCCCGACAGACTGATACATTTTCTGTAAATTTACTTATAAAACTTTTGTTTTCTGTAATACAGTGGGGGACCTAATATAGTGGCAAAAAACGCCATTTTGACTCCGGGAAGTATCAAAAATGTGGCAAAGTGCTTCCATTTCCAAGTGAAAAAACTCCGATTTCAAAAGCGCGCCCTTCAAAACGAAGTTTTTTCACTTGGAGAGGGAAGCATTTTGCCACATTTTTGATGCTTCCCGGATGCAAAATGGTACATTTTTTGCCACTGGATCAGGTCCCCATTAGAAAAATGGATTATTGATAAAAAGCAAACCTAAACTTATCTTTTACAGACCTATGTTTGTTTCTTTCATAGCTTTTTTTTGTCATTACCTTACAAAAAAAATCGATTTTTTTCTAACTCCTGCCATTTTCAGCCCACCAAACTGCAAGGCCTCGAAAACCTGCATCAGAACCAGTGGGAGTCGCCCTGGTTCTCGGCGCTCCTCACCACCCGCGACACTCTACCTCCCATCGACGACGCGGCTTCGGACACGGACCAGTTCATTCGAAGGCGCTCGGCTCAAAGCCTGAACCCGATTTTCGATCGGGATATGATACGAAGGCTCTCGAATGTCGGTATTGTATGATTGGTCTCAAGTGCTGTGGTCTACAGAGAGAATTTAGGGCAGCGAACTGTGAATAGAGCGATTTTTTGTGGTGATTTTTGGGATTTTTCGAAAAAAACTCAAATTTTCCTTGTTTTTCGGCAAAAATCTTAAAAAATCTCGGTTTTTTCGCAAAAAACACATGTTGAAATTTTAAAAATAGATGACAAAAATTATCAACGCATCCCTAGGTTTAAGAATCAGCCAATTTTTTCGCAAAAATTTAATCGCAAAAATCGCAATTTTTTCGAAAATTTCCCCAACATTCTAGTGTAATATTTATGCGATTCGTTGTCTGAAATTCTCTCTGTTGCCTGCCTGATTCAAGAATAAGGTCTGCTTGACATCTCAAGCCCCAAATCCATGTGATCTCTTTACTTCAACTGCGTTTTACGGGTCCTTTTCCAAGACGTGTAAATACATCTCGTGACAAAGCAATCTACTCTAGCAAGGGCTCCAAGTGCGACGCTCAAATCTTGATGAAACTTGGGTCAAATTTAGACAATTTTTTTATAAGATCCATGCGAGATTTTTAGCTGGCGCTTTGCAGAAATGGTCGAGATTTTTAGATCGAAAATTCGAAAAAAATTCACTTTTTTTTGCGAATTTTCGCGTCAAAAATTTTATGTCTATTTCTACTGTAGACAGTGATGTTTCCACAAAAAATCAGATTTTTCGCCGCAAAACTGGCAAAAATATGGCCAAAAAAGTGTTTTTTCTCTGACCGCTCTCCACCTTTCGTGCACTCTCTCGGCGGATCGTTCAATATCTCGGCTGTTCCAGCAAAGGGCGAGCTAAAATTTTCAGGAATTGATATGTGGCCTATACTCAATGTTTCTGCAAATTTTGAGCTTCCCATATGGGGCACTTCCCTTGTAAAATACGATCTTTTTACTCTGTTCCATCTCAATTTGTAAATATTTTTCTGACACTAGGCGGGCCAAAAAGTCAATTTTTAGCTCGCCTAGCATTAGAAATCTTTTTTCAAGATCTCATTCTCATTTTTCTGGTCGATTTTCCGGTGATTTTTTTTTTGAAAAAAAAAATTTAATTTTTAAAATTTTTTAAATTAATTAGCAATAAATAAAAAAATTAAAATATTTTGAATGAAATAGATCAATTTCAGGCTTCTTCCGATATCAAGTCTTGTTTATTAACATAAAAACGCTGGGATATATGAGAAGAAATAACAAGAAGATCCAAAGTGAGCCGACGAGTGGTTGCTCGGTTGTGAAGAGGGTTGATTGGGTGTCCTAAAAGTTATTGTATTGATTAGACTACAATGCGAGAGACTCTGATCTATAGAATTGAAAAAATGTATAAAAAAATAAAAAAAAAACTTTTTTATTAATATTATTTTAGGTGTAGAGATCTAAAAAAAAGTCGAAATAAAGCTAAAAGTCTCGTTGAAAAATGACAAAACTCGTTTGTAAAATATAAATCATGATGTAATAGACAATAAAAAAAAATTCTTTTTATATTCGCGCCATAAAATTTCGATTTTTTTTTTAAATTTCGTAATTTTTTTATAAAAAAAAGATTAAAAATAAAACTTAAAAAAAAAATAATAAAAATCAAAAAAAATCCAGTTAAATTTTTTTATACCTAAAATTACCCAAAAAAATTTTTCATTCAAAAAGAAATTAATTTTTCAAAATTTTCATTCAAAAAATCAAAAAAATCCTTTTTCCGCAAAACCTCCAAAAAATTTTCTTCAAAACCCATTTAAATCTCCCAAAATTTTCACTTTGTATATTATACATGATAAACAATATGAATTTTTATCAATTCATAACAAAAAATCAACAATTTTCGAGGTTTTCACACTGTAATAACTTACAATATCCGTTAAATTTTACAATTACAGCGTACAAAAAAAAACAAAATTATCAAATAATTAAATCTAAAATAGTTTAAAAAACAATAAGTTAATACCCGGAGAGTGTTTTACAACTGCTTACATGCTGTTAAATTCAATTTACAACCAATTTGAGGGGTGAATTCGGATAAAATAATATAAAAACTGGTCAAAACGATATAAAAATTGATCAATAGTGAGAGTGAGGCGTGAGAAGTTCGAGACTGAGAGGATGGATAATATAATAGACTGTAAAATCGTTAAAACTGAGTAGTTACCTTCGAGTATGAGAAAGATTTAGAGCCGGTTTAGTAGCGTCTCGAGTGCCGAGGGCTGCGGCTTCGGCTGCGCGAACGGCGGCGATGTTTGGAGCGGCGTTCCGGCGAGCGGTGATGGCGTTTGCGGGACGAGGACTGCTTCTCCACGCCGTTCAGGGCTTCCTGAGGTAAAATTAGAGGGGTTAGGAAATAAATTTTTTAAAAAATTCGACCAAAAACGTCAAAAAATCAAAAAATTTTTTCAAAAAGTACCTAGTACAATATCCTATGAAAAAAACCGATCTCTAACTCTTAATCCTGACTACCAAGTATTTTTCTACCTTGAAAAACCAAAAAAACTGAAACTACCACCATTAAACTCTTCAAACAACACATTTTTATATTGTTATACCATCTAAACCCAAAATTTTCGAAAATTTGTGCCTAGTCCAAAATCTTCAAAAAAACTTGGCCAAAACTGCTTGCAATATCAACCATACATCCCAATCTAACTTCTAATTTCCAATTCAAATCCCAATCTAATCATTTCCTCTTCAAAACATCACGTCTTCTTCATCTACCTAAAAACCGAAGCAAAAACTCAAAACCTTACTTGTAATGTCTGTAAAAGCGCTTTGCAACCTTCATCCTGCGAGACTCTCGACTGTTTGATCAACGACATGGCTGTCATCAGCGTATCCATCGCGGAATCCACGTCTCCCGCTGCTGTGTCACTCATGGCGCGAGCAATCGCCGAAGAAGAGACGGTTCTGTTCCGATCCATAATTTCCTTGTATTCCGCTGGAGACATTTGATTGTGACCGCCCATATCGCGCGGCATTTGTTGTCCTTGAGCTGAAAATACAAAATTTGGAGAGATTTGCCTTTATTTTTGATACTTCCAACATTTTTTATATTACACATGACATCATATTTTCCACTGAAGAAATCTCTTCTTTCTTGCCTAAAATTCAACAAAAAATGTCAAAATACTTACAGAGGTATGGATAAACTTGTGGATTAACATGCGCACCAGGCGGAATATTCATATTCTGCTGCCCGGTGGAGCTCTGCCTAGTTCTATTCAAGACATTATTCATGGTGGCGGCAGTGTTCATATTGCTCTGTTGCATCTGCATCATCTGTTGTGGGAAGGAAGGAGGTGGCCGAGACATGATATTGTTCATGTTGCCCATCATATTCGGGATTTGTGGAGGCGGCGCGGCCAAATTGATTCGTTGCTGGACAAGCGGCTGAATCGGTGGTTGTTGGCGAATATTCATGACTGGAGGTGCTCCGAAATTCAGGATAGATGTTGGTTGCATCCCATTCATCGGCATGATTCGAGTCTGCATTGCGGGAATTTTGTTTTTCTCGTCCTTTTTCTCCTGCAAATATTGGTTTAGGTATCGAAGAAAACTTTCGAAAAAAAAGTATTAAATCCACTCCATGAATAGACAAACTAACCTCCGCTCGTTTCGCGGGCTCTTCTAGTTTGGCCAAGGACTGTTTATTGTACGGCAGGACCGTTAGAAGTTGGCCATTCAGCTGTCTTCCCGGCACTCGGTCCATTATAACTTTGACGGATGCTTCGGATTGAAGAGCGACGTCGGCATATCCTCTACTCTGTCCATTTTGCCGATTCTCACCGAACTTGACCTCAATCACATCGGTGACACCATAATCTTGAAGGGTCGACTAAAAAAATTTGGAATTTATATTGCTCATGGAATTGAGATGCCAAATCTGTCAAAGCAGATCTTAAAATAAAATCGTGGTGGACGGTTTTGTCCCCACCCCGGTTTTGTCCCCAGGACGTTTTTGTCCCCACTTTTTTCGAGCCTTTTTGTCCCCAGACCGGTTTTGTCCCCAGGACGGTTTTGTCCCCAAGACGTTTTTGTCCCCACTTTTTTTATTTTTTTGTCCCCACACCGGTTTTGTCCCCGGGACGTTTTTGTCCCCAAGCTGGATAGTACGATTAAAAATTATGCATTCAGATGTTAATGCTGTTGGTTTGGTGCACAGTACTGCTCAAACAACTTGTTCTTAGCGCTTGGTACTGTATAGTACGATGTGGTACTATATAGCACGAGGTAAAAATTAAGCCATAACACGTCAATGCTATGGGTTTGAAGCCCAGTACTTCTCAAAAATGTGTTTTAGCGTACTATATAGCACGAATTTGTTTTTGCACAAAATGAACGTCTGGTCAGTAGTGCATACCAAAACAACGTCATTCACGCGTTATAGCTTAATTTTTACCTCGTGCTATATAGTACCACCTTGTACTATATAGTACCAAGTGCTAAAAAGACATTTTTTTGAGAAGTCCGGGGCTTCAAACCAACAGCATTAACGCGTTATGGCTTAATTTTTACCTCGTGCTATATAGTACCACCTTGTACTATACAGTACCAAGTGCTAAGAACATGTTGCTTGATCAGTACTGTGCACCAAACTAAAAGCATTAACATCTGAATGCATAATTTTTAATCGTACTATCCAGCTTGGGGACAAAAACGTCCTGGGGACAAAACCGGTGTGGGGACAAAAAAATAAAAAAAGTGGGGACAAAAGCGTCTTGGGGACAAAACCGTCCTGGGGACAAAACCGGTCTGGGGACAAAAAGGCTCGAAAAAAGTGGGGACAAAAACGTCCTGGGGACAAAACCGTCTTGGGGACAAAACCGGGGTGGACAAAACCGGGCCCAATCCTTAAAATATTTTTTTTATGTCGCAAAACACCTAAACACCAAGACACAAGAAAAAAGAAACTAAACATACAATAACATCGTCGTCAGTTGTCCACCAAGTCATGTTACCGAGGTAAACATGCCATCTTCTCACAGTCGATCCATAATTATATTGAGAAGGTGTGGAGAGAGGCTTCGAAAGAGCAACCTTCTGCTCAATTGTTGATTTCGGCACCTCAACCTTGCTCTCAGCCGGTAGCGGGGATGAAGGAAGTTCTTCTTTGAGCAGCAAGTCCTCTTCGGCCTTGTCCATGGAGGGCTCCATTGCCGCTTCGTAAAGGTCGTCCCCATCCTCGAACTTGTCTTTTCTGCAACAAAACTCGTCGTAAAGACAGCTTACAAACCAGAGGACATAATTTAGCTAAACACACTCGAATTTTCTAGCAAAATTATTTTCACCATCAATAATATTTTTTTACCCTCCTAAAATAAAAAAAAAAATTAAATGACGGCTAAACTTACAATTCCAGGTCGTGCTCGCCGAGCAGAGCTTCTTCATCCAGCTCACTAACGTTCACTCCTTCTGCACCGCTCAAAATGTCCTCCTCGGCCGACATTATACTTGCCTGAAAAAGAAAGTCGTATCTAAACTAATATTTCAACCAAAATTTACATATAGCACTTCTACAACAGAGAAAATTGGAATCAACACGACAGAAAAGACAAGAAAAAACCAATTCGCGCAGCTGCCGCTTTGTTCTTTCCAGTTGATGCGGAATGCCAAAGCAAATTGGCATTGCACTTTTTCGTGGTGGGACTATATTAAGAGCCTCGTGAAGTCTTTAATTTCACTAAAACTTGCCGATTTTGAAAGAAACAGACAAATTTGCAAATATATTTATATATTTAAGTTATTTTTGAACAATTGAGAACTTCGCATTTGGCGGAGCCGTATATCTTCGAACCGGCAAAACTACAGTAACCACTGCTCCAGAATGTGCGGATTGCGAGTGCCGCGTGTTGCCAATGACATGTGTTCGGACAAATGAAGAAGTTAGCACCAGTAATGTCCCGGGCATTAGGCAGGAAAACGCCATAGAAGCCGGAATCATGTGGATCACCATGAACCAGCGGAGTGGAACGTTTTCTGTGGCCACGCCGTGTTGGTAAATGGCCTGAAAATTGCGTAAAAAGTCAGATTTTGCTCCACAAAGCCCTGTGGAGTCAAAAAAGAGAAAAATTTTTTCGCATTTTTGTCATTCTTTGCACCTACCGTATTCACCACCAGGCAAAAATGAGCGCTAAACATGATGATCGAAAACATTGCGAATTTGAATCTCCCATCCTGCGAGAGCTTTAGCTGCGCTCTGTAGTAGAAGATAAGGCAAATGTTCCCGATATTCAAGGCCAACGAGATACCCATTGTAATCGCACAATAGATAAAGGACCGAACGGCAAGATTGATCTGAAAATTTGGATGGTAAAGCAAATATTAGAGTTCTCCGGTCACAAATTTACTTTTAAAATTTACTTCAAAATTCTTGGAAAATTCTTGAAAGTTTTAGTTTAGACTTGGCAGGCGTGGGCGAGATCTTCAACAGCCTTTGCAACCGAGAGAGTAAGCAAAATTTGGAGGGCGGCAAGGAAAAATCTCGTTGAAATAAGGCTGAAATTTTTCATCGTGAAAGGATATCAAATTTTTTACTTATTTTTTCGACTTAGAATTTCGGTTGTTTCTGCATAGCGCGAGCTGGGACACTCCGAAAAATACGTCTAATAGTAAACGCGACCACTTTTTCATCATAACTTCGCTAGTTATACAACCCCTCCGGAGGATGGCAGAAGCTCAACCCGTGCCAGGACCTTAGTGAGGATTGGCGCACTGGAGAACCGACGTGACATCCCCATCTTGGCCCCGAATCATGGCCCGTTTCTCTACTTTTGATAGATGATCAGCGGAAATAAATTTAATTGAATTGAACTTCGCTAGTTTGGGGCGGAAAAAACCGATTTTTTTGGAAAAATTATATACCTCTATGGTAGAAATAGCCATGACATTTTTTATGCCAAAATTCGTAAAAAAATCACATTTGAGCTGACTTTCAATCTAAAAATCTCGGTTATTTCCGTGATTTTTTTATCCAATAGCGCAAACTAGCGGCCTCCTCGCATACGTCTTAAAAAAATCGTGCTAAGTTCCATCAAAATTGAGCGTCGCATTTTCAGCACTGTTGCTCTCAATTTTTTTATTTATATATAGTACATTGAACTTACTCCGAAGGCATATTTGAGCTCGTACTGGAAAGTGCGATAAGTTCCGTAAATCGTTTCCTGCTGGATTATGGAAGTTCTATTCAACAATAAGTGGGACGTACACATAAAAGGGATGATGATATAAGCCGCAAGCACGTAGCGAATGTATCTTTCCCATAGCTAAAGGTTTAGGTCGATTACTAATTCGCAAAGTCGCTGAAGTGATTTTGGCGACATGAACTGTGCAAGCGCATGTCGCCGAAATCACTCCAGCGACTTTGCGAACAGATTATCTGTCTGTCGGGAAAATAATGAGCCTCTGTCGCATCCAGAAAACCGCATCGCCGTCAAGAAAATGAATTGTGTCGCAAAAAAAAATTTTTCACTTCAGCGACGCAATCGGCGCAGCTCGCGCTCATTATTTTCCCGACAGATCCCAATAAAACTGAAAAAAATATATTTTTTTAAGACAGTTTTTAATCCTTGCAAGACTAAACTCACCTGATTGTAACTGAATTTAAACAGGAAACTTGTCAGTCGATTCAACGCCAAAATGAGGATGCCCAGTTGACTCGCATACAACAGAAAGTAGTTGGCGAAGAACACACCCGTATTCCAATAGCTGAAGGTTTCGAAGCGATAGAGGAAAAGGTCGTAAGCCGGCTCAATGTTCGGCAAATACCAAGTGTATTGAATGGTGAGGAAGTTGAGGAGGTCCTGAAAATGCTTACAAATTGGCATTCTTTAGGAGAGATTCTACTCTTGCGGAAAGAGCAACAGCAGAATTTTTGAGCAGTGTCAGAGGGGAAAACGTTTTTTTTTGGCTATATCTCTGCCAGTTTCGCGTGGAAAGTTGATTTTTTACGGAGGCATTACGTTTTACGGTAGAAATGGGCATGAAACTTTTGAAGCCAAAATTCGCAAAAAAGCGTCACCATTTTTTCCAATTTTCTACCCAAAAATCTCAATCGTTTCTGGAAATCGGAAGCTACAGTGGGAGACCTGGTCCACTGGCAAAAAACCGTACCATTTTGCTCCTAGGAGTTATCAAAAAATGTGGCAAAATACCTCCCTCTCCAAGTGAAAAAAGTCCGATTTCAAAACCACTCTTTTTGGGAATGAAAGGGGAAAAAACTTCAAATGAAGTTTTTTCACTTGAAGAGGGAAGCATTTTGCCACATTTTTGATACTTACTGGATGCAAAATGGTACGGTTTTGCCACTGGATCGGGTCCCCCACTGTATTAGTCTTGGATATATCTCAATTTTCCGCCCGGAATTCTTGTCAGAATTTAGCACACTCTGTCGCTGACAACGCTTTGTGAACCATTGGCTGCAAAGTGCCAGCTAAGATTTTCAAAAATTCTGTTCAAAAAAGTGTGTCTGGAAAATAATAAGCGCAATGTTGCGTCGAAAATCGCATCGCCGTTGAGAAAATTGATTGTGTCGCGGCAAAATCAATTGCTTTTTAATTCAACGACACCATTTTCGCAGTAACGTTGTGTTCATTATTTTCCCGACAAACTGATAAACCAAAAAAAAAAATAAAAAGAACGGGGAAGGGGGGTAGTTTGGGCAATTTCCGTTCGAAAAAACTCGTCAGTTTCTGGTCAGCGACAGCTTGGAATTTCGCCAAAATCTTGTCACTGCAAAGCACACTCACAATGAAGACGTTGATGCAAACAATCCTGTAAAAGCTCGAATTGAAGGTCTGCCATCGCGTCCGCAAAATATAGTAGAGTCGGATGTTCAGTACGAACATTGGCAAGTAGAAGGCGTTCAGAACTACGACCTCAAACAAGTTCATGCGACCGGAATTCGAGTTGTCTGCGCTTTTGAGCTTGCCGTTGCCATTTCACCACTCACATTTCATGGTTGACATTCATGAAGTGTGTATGCGAAACCGCTGAACTCCGCACATGTAATTAGCCGACATGGGATGCGGTGCTGTAATTGGGGGTTCGTGATACTAGCGGTGAGCAAAAAAAAGGGGGAGTCACGCTTTCTTGGTGGGCTACGAGGTCATCAGAATACAAGAGGTGGAACGGTAGGGATATATTTATTATTAGTATGTATAACACATACTAATAACAATAATAAAAATTATATGTTTAGTATATAATAATAACATCTTCTAATAATAGTCACAGATGATCTTGAATCAGTTAGTAATGTAAGATATTTTGTCTGTCGGGAAAATAATGGCAATGTCGCTGCGTCGATCATGTCGCTGAAGCAAAAAGCGATTTGGTATTGTCGTGGGACAATTCGTTTTCTCAGCGACAATGCGATTTTATAGATGCGACAAAGTGCTCATTATTTTCCACAGACTGGTAGCGTATGACCACGACAAACTGGTAGCGTATGACCATTCCTGGAATTGTCAGCAGAGAATGATAATTGAACCAAAGTAAAGAAAGTGGTCAAGGCTTGAAGAGACCGTGGCCCAGCAATCACCAAGTTCTCGCCATTTTCAGACCTTGCATTAGCTGGATCTTCGACGGACTGGAAGCCAAAGATCCGAATGAAATAAGGTCTGAGTACGGCAATCACTAAATGGAAGCATGGCCAAAGGTTCGTCAAATTTTGGCCCAGCCATAATAAAGCCTTGGTCTTGAGTTCATCAAGTTCTCGTCATTTTCTGACCTTACTTTAGCTGTAAAAAAATCAAAAAAGGTCCAAGTAAAATAAGATTAAATTCCGGCGAGGGCAGGATGAGATCATGGCCAAAGCTCCAGCAAACTTTGGCTGTGCCTTGATGAGGCTTTGGCCCAGCATTCATCAAGCTCTCACTTGATTTCATCTTACAAGGGAAGTACTTGAAGTGTGACGCTCAGATTTTGATGAAACTTGGCACAAATTTAGAATAATTTTTTCTAAGATATATGCGGGAATCCTAGCTCGCGCTTTGCAGAAACAACCGAGATTTTTAGATCGAAAGTCGGCGAAAATTTGGGACTTTTTGCCGAATTTCGGCACGAAAAGTTTCATGCCTATTTCAACCGTAAAGAATAATGTTTCTACAAAAAATCAAATTTTTCCGCACGAAACTGCCAAAGTTATGGCCAAAAAGCGGTTTTCTCTCTGACCGCTCTCCACGTTGAGCGTGCTCTCTCGGCGGCAAAAATCGTTCAATATCTCGGCGGCGCCCGCAAAGCGCGAGCTAAAACTTTCAGGAATTGATATTTAGTCCATACCCGATGTGTGTGCAAAATTTAAAGAAAATCTGAGCGTCACACTTGAAGTACTTCCCCTGTTAGCTGGACAAAGTTCCAGCTTTTATAAGATTTGATAAACGACGTAGTCCCATTTTTGTAGTGACTTACACTTACGTTGCCATAACTTTCCTACAAATATACGACCAAAATATGCTTTCCTTTTCCTTTATCGATGGGGGTCCTTGCCAAACTGAGGTCCTCAACGCCGGAGGTCGTTGCCGAAGGGCACTCTTAGCTTCGCAGACGTTTTAAAGGAGCAAGTACAATAGTCGCGGTCTTTGGCGCGGTCCGAGAGCATGTCTAGCCCGCACAGACCGCGCCACGTCAAACTGAGGAGTTCGGCGACCGGAACAGACCCTTCGCTATTGGTTTTTACACTTCGTCTTTATTTCGCAGAGAAGACAGAGAAAAGACGCGCAAAAACGTACTCTCTCGCCCCAAAAAGTCCCCATTTCTTCCTCGACAAAGCGTTTTTTCACCTCTTTTTTTGACAAATTGTCAATCGGACTGTTTCAGCTTATCTCAGTTTGACGTGCGGGTTTTATTTATCTCTTTGTCGGAAAAATAATGAGTAAAATTTCGTTGCGCCGGTCACGCCGATGAATTGAAAAGCGACTTGTTTTTGCCGCAACACAATTCATTTTCTCGGCGGCGATGCGTTTTTTAATGCGCCAGAATGGCCGTTATTTTGCCGACAGACTGGGACTCCTAGCTTTCTATAGCTTTCTATATTTAGCTGTCACACAAGTATAGTAGTTTGTGCCCGGAGGCCCGAGAATTAATAATTCGAAATATTTTTAACGAAACCCAGACGGAAATTACGATAGATGATGATACGTTACGTGAATAAACAGTAAAATCATGGCATGTTACGTGGATAAACAGTGAATTTCCAGTGAGCTTACTGTAACTACCGTACTGTTTCTTTCCAAACATCCTTTAAGCTAATTAAAATTCAGCCACGAAAATTGCAATTTTCAAAAACAATAGATACAATTAGACATTAAAGTTACAAATTAAAATCGCTTCCATGTGGAGCTGAAACCCAGTGATTATGTAATCTCCTACATATTCTGTAGGATGCACGCCTATTGCTGTCAATAACATGCTATTAAAAACAGTTGTTTTGTAGGTGGGGGATTTTCGTGGAATGGAAAATAAGACAGGGGAAGTCATCGTTTTGTTATGTATAATACTTCGAAAAAATTGAGCTTCATACAGAATAAATTGCTCTATAATGCCTTTGCTGGGAAGACCATGAACGCGTTGGAAAGACGACTTCAAGAACTTCTACAAGTTGAACATGGTGGGACAGACCTGGAGAACCGACGTGGCATCCCCATCTGGGCCCCGAGTCATGGCCCGTTTCTCTACTATTGATAGATGATTAGCGGAAATAAATTGATTGAAATTGAATAATGCCTCAGATGCAAGCAATCTGCCATGGCAAGACGAGGCATTTCCAGCATTTTCCCGACAGACAGATAAATAAAGCCGGGTATTTTTCGGGCCTAGACATGGCTGTAGGGCCGGGCCAAAGGTCGTGGCTATTGTACTTACGCCCTGAAAGCGTTAGTGAAGCTACGGTGCACGTCAAACTGAGGAGTCCGGTGACCAGAATAGACCCTTCGCTATCGGCGTTTTACACTTCGCGAAACTTCGTCTTGATTTTGCAGAGAAGGCAGAGAAAAGACGTGTAAAAACGTACTCTCTCGCCCCGAAAATTCCCCATTTCTTCCCCAACAAAAAGGTTTTTTCACGTTTTTTTTGGCGAAGTGCCAATCCATTCACCGCATCGTTTTAACATTTTTCTTTTGACGTGCGGTGCTCTTCGGGAAGGACCCCCGGCGTCGAGGACCACCGCTCATTAAGGACCCTATCGATACGTGAAAGGGAAAGCATGTTTTGGTCATATATTTGTAGGGAAGTCATAGGAATAGGGAAGTTATAGGAATGCGCTTTTCACTTCAGCGATTGGTGCAGCGACATTGTGCTCATTTTTTCCCGACAGACTGATACGGGCCAGAAATCGGAATGTACGATAATTGAGCAACTTTACCACGTTTCAAAAGGGAAATACAAATGCAACATTTATGAGAAAATAGATTGTAGAATGGTGCTTCTTACGCACTTTCACGCAAACTTTGAACAGAAAACTGTTTGCTGTTCGAAGAACTGTTTTCAAAACAACCAACATGAACATGCACGAAGATGAGAGCAGAGCTACGAGGCAAGCATGTAAACACGTGTATGGAAAGACTACATGTATTCATTTTGAGCATACACCTTCAGGGCAAATGCAGTTAAATTTTGATTAGATTTGGAGACCATCGAAAAAATAATCGAATTGCAATTGTTGAGGCCGGACAGTTCAGAAGATTATATGCGGAATGGTTCCTGTTATAACATTTTATAATAGTTACAACAAAAGGCAAAACGCGGCGGTATCCCGAAAATGATGTCAAGATTTACACAAATCAAGGCGTATATTCTTCAGAATTTGCTAATAGGAAAGAGGAGTGATCCGAGTGTGATGCGCAGATTGAAATAAAATTTATCGTAGATGGAGAATTTAATGGAAATCTGTCGGGAAAATAGTTGTGGGTCGTCCCAGCAAAATTGTTCGCCTCGTCAAAAAAGAGTGCGTGCAGTCACGCACCTCCAGCTGCGGCTAGCCGTCACAAAGCAATGATGAGCGATTCCTAGGCGCGACGAGCCAGCTCTATCTTCCCGACAGACTGATGAAGTACTCGGAGTGATTTTTTGGCGTTTGGACTGCGCGAAAAAAGTCAGGATACCTATTGCACGGTGCAAAAAGCAACAAATTTCACCGTGCAAAGTGGACGCTTGTTTTCTCACAGTGCATGTCGCGGAAAAAAATTGAATATGTTTTTGGACACATGGTCTAGTCCGCAACTGTACTGCCAGGAGCCTCAGATAATCACCCGTATTTTTCAAAAAACAAAAAAAAAACAAAAACACTCCCCTACAAGTCAAAATTGTTGCTTGCACTTGGCAAGCATACAAACAAAAACTTGTCGCTGTTGTTTTGCAAAAGTAAATGTTGAAGAGGTTGAGCTGTAGTTGAACGGCCAGTAAGTTCAAAGTAAAACAAAAGTTTGTCGTTTCCCTGTTTGTATTAGTCCGGCGGGAAAATAATGAGCACAACGTCGCTGCGCCGATCGAAAAATGAAAAGCAATTGGATTTTGCCGCGACACAAGTCCGTTTCCCGGCGACGATACGATTTTCGATACGAGAGAGTGCTCATTATTTTTCCGACAGACTTTTAAAACATTTTTGACGTTGGGATTTAGCAATGATATTGAAGTTTTTGTCATTTATCAGTAAAATCCCGCAAGAAAGTTGACGTTAATCATGATTCGCCAACCATGTTTGCCTTTATCTGCATTGTAACAATTTCTTTTCAAATCAAAACTCCGTTTACGCAACTTTATGCCATTCCCCCCACGGAATGTTTTTCCAGCCACATTGAGCGGGGAAATTAAAAAAAACGATTAGAAAAACGGAGGAAGAGGGGCAGTGGGTTGTGCGGATGATCCGTGCGGGGTTAAAAGACGCTTAAGGGTCAAGGCCGCGTGAATTCCGCCGAAATTGGTGGAATCAGACGGCGCGCGTTCGAGGAGTTTTCATCCGGCTTACTCCAATCGATGTCGCAACCGTGTTGTTGTGTGGGTTTTTGGGGGCATTGAAGTGTTGTGTTGAGAAGAGTGGGCCTTTGCTTTTGAATTAGCCGGCATTCGAGCTTCGGAAAATTATCAGATTGTCGGGAAAATAATGCTGCGCCAATCGCGTCGTGCCAAAGAATCTTTCTCGGTGAGCGGTCGGTTTTTCCTGTTACCTATTAATCTGTTGGGAAAATACTGAGCACAATGCTACTGCGCCAATCGCGCCGCTGGCTTAAAAAAGCAGTTTGATTTTGTCGTGATACAATTCGTTTTCTCGGCAGCGCACGTCAAACTGAGATAATCTAAAACAGTCCGGTGAATGGATTGGCAATTTGCCAAAAAAAGACGCGAAAAAACGTTTTGTCGGAGAAGAAATGGGGAGTTTTTGGGGCGAGAGAGTACGCTTTTGTGTGTCTTTTTTTTTTCTTTCTCTGCGAAATCAAGACGAAGTGTAGAAACCGATAGCGAAGAGTCTATTCCGGTCACCGGACTCCCCAGTTTGACGTGCGGCGATGCTATTTTTGTCGCGACAGAGTGGTCATTATTTCCCCGACATGATGATAAATCGAATAAAAAAATGCGCAAAAACACCTTCTGGGTGAGCGGTTTCTTTTTCCAGGTCGCCTATGGCGTTGTGGGCGCAAAGGTTGCGGCCTTGATAAATAGCCAACAACCTAGGGGATTTCAAGATACTAGCAATTATATATTAATAATATAATATCAATCCGTAGTGAGCGCCAAGTGGAGCAATTGGAAAAATCGCTGGAGTTGCGCTCATTATTTTCCCAACAGGCTGATACTTATGAGCATATTTTAATTTGAGTTGTTCTTAAAGAGATATGGCCATATATGTCTTATGATTTCGGCTACGTGCCCTGCCGGACCTTCTCCAACACGCTGTTGTTATTTTTACAAACAGTCTGCGCTTCATTCTAACTGTCACTTTCGCCCATTCCCCTTCCGACTCATTTGGAATCGAAATGCGCGATGCCCATTGCCCTCCGGGGCTTCGCCGCGCTTCCCATGACAACAACACTGTTCAGTAGCCGCGGGAGCGGAACACATAAATGGACTCGCGAACCGCAACTGGGTCAATGTTGTTGGGCGAGTTTCGGGAGGGCGTCGGGGAAAAAAAAAGTGAAAAGCGGCTAGATGGGGATAAAGGTCGAGTGCCGATACGTTTTGCTGTTCATCATGCTGCTCGTTGCATATAGCGTATAATAATTGTTTTAAGCGGGGGTTTCGAAGGCTCGGGAACGCCGTTGGTAATAAGGTCCGGTTCGGGGGGTGTTGGAAATGTTGTGGGCAGTCGTAGTCGAGTCTCTGAGTGACAACAACAACAACATGTTGTATGACATGATGAAGGGTCTGAAATGATTTTATATTAGAAGTTCTTGGCAAATCAGCGAGATTTTGTCCCAAGGGCTGTTGTAGAAAAGCCAATGATTTATAATGCTCGAAATGCCCTTTCCTCCTACTTTTGGTCTTGGATGAATCAATGTGTCAGTCTGTCAGGAAAATAGTGAGCACTCTGTCGCATCCAAAATCCGATCGCTTCGCTAAATGAGAAGCAATTTGATTTCGTCGCGACACCATTCATTTTCCCGGCGGCAGTGCGATTTTCGATTCGAAAAAGTTGTCATTATTTTCCCGACACACTGATAGGGTTCACGTCGACAAAATCTTAGCTTACGCAGTGCTGGGACATGCACGATTTCATGGAAATTTTGCCACCCGCGGTTGAAATGACGCTGAAATTTCATACGCACAATATTCGCAAGAAAGTCAAGCTCAGTGCTGACGACAATTTCAAAGTAGTTCAGTTTTGTCCAAATTCCAAGGAGTTGTCAACCAACCCTTATTAATTGTAAAATTTCACAAAAAAACTTGGAAAAATTTATTGTAGCTTGGCATACTGTAGTTGAGATCCGTTTTCAGTATCATAAAAAGTGCGCATCCTAGAGACAAGCGCTCTTTACCGTTATCTTTGTCGTGCTTTAAAACCTATTTTTTGTAATTTTTACCAAATTCCAAGAACATAAACGTCGCGCTTTGAGTAATTATTTTATATTATAGGTGCATAATACACTTGCTTTTCCCATAGATTTTCCTTTTCAATTTCAAAATTGCAAAAAATGCATTCAATTCTTGTCCAACGCGTTCGCCGTTTCCCAGCAAATTCAGTTCAGTCGGCTTGTTCCATTCAAGAATACGACCCCCAACTCCATTTCACAGCCTTCTTGACCCGTATCCATTCATGCGGCGGCTACAAGCTCAATTCGTCGTTTAAGATGCATGCAAAGAGGTGTTTGTCGAGAAAAAATAGTTGCGCGGATTAGGGTCGGCAAATATTTAGCGGGATCCACTCCTATTCGGCGGTGTGGGAATAATCTGCCTGAGGGCGTTTTGAGATTTGGGATCGGGAAGGGGTCTTGTTGAACAGTCATCGTTTTATGCAAGAGGTGACCTTAGGGGATTATGGAGGGGAGTAGAAAGAGTAGTTTGTAGCGGGCGTTGAGGAATGCTTGGCATTTCGCTCTATGACGAACTTCCGTAGAACAAAACTTATGTGTCTATATGTAGTCTTTCAAAGGTGTCAAGAGTCGATTTTAGTCCACAATGAATCTCCGTACACCGACGCTTTTTTTATGGCGAGAAAATTGACCTTTAAAATTTGTTGTACAGAGGCTTCTAGCGCCGTCTTTTGGCAATGGATGTTCATCAAATTTCTGATTATATTTTCCAAACTCGTTTGCTATACATAGGTAGAGTTCGTTGTATAAGAGGTTTTTCTAATGGGGCTCTGCTACAGTTAAATGGGTTTTCTGTCTCAATTTTTTCACTCTAACCGCCTATAACTTGTTGTCTTCTTGCCCATGCAGAACCATTTGCGCGCTACGGCATATCACTGTGTCGGGAAAATAATGAGCATTCTGCGCATGAATAATCGCGTCGCCGCCGAGGAAATAAAGTGTCTCGCGGCAAAATCAAATTGCTTTTAACCTTGCGATTGGCACTGCGACATTACGCTCATTATTTTGCCGACAGACTGATAGATTACCAGGAAAAACCGACCGCTCACCGGGAAAGATTTTTGAACTCTTTGGAGCTCTTTTTCATTCGTGGTCTACGTTACGAATTTCTTTTTGGCATTACACCGCACTACGAACTGTAATATTATTTTTCAGATCATGTATGTGATCTCGTTGATCGTCACAGTTCTCCTACAACTAATATCAATATCGGGTAAAAAAAAGTCTTCTCAATAAATCAAATTCCATTCGACATATTTTCAGCCGACCAACAATGTCAGCCAGTGTTTGTCCGATGGCCCAGAGTGAAGCTGAATCTGCCGCCCAAAGTGAAAGGGCCGTATTCGCTGCGGACCTGTCGCACCGCCTGCTCTCACGACGAGAATCCCACGCATGTGGGTGCTGAACAGCAATGCTCGGCCTTCAATCATCGTGTCGGACCAACCGACTACCACAACGAATGCCATGTTTACGAAGCGTCGGCGGTGAAACGAACCGACGGACTGATCGAAGCCGACGACCGGTTCTCGTTCTATTGGAAGTACTGCTTGAATAGTAAGTTGGTCATCAGAAATTACTTTGTTTTTTGATTCAAATTGTCCTGTTTGAACCAAACTTTTTTAGCCAATCGAAGCTGTGCCGGCGACTATGGCTTCACATTCTTATCGGATCGCTACATTTCTCAAGAATATGTGAGCTTGGTCAAGAAGGTGGGCTCTCTGGAAGACTGTCTGGCCGACTGTTTGAATCAAGGAGAATTCATGTGCCGAAGTTTGGCATACAATCGGACAAGCCATAGTAAGTACAATTCATTTCAAAGTGATACACAAGCCTATGAAATTTGCAAGAAATTTGCAACTGTGGTGTCGGCGTTTAGTTGAAGGATGTAAAACTTTTACAGATTGAAAGAGGAGGTTTCAAAGCCTACACCAAAAAACCAGTTTTTGTTATTGTCCAGTAATTGCACTTTACACTGAAGATTTTAAGTTTTGGATGTTTCAAAATGATAGATTTGCTATTTTTTGTTAAAAACTTGCGACTATGTACCCCATAGTGCCTGAAATTACTAGTATGACTGTATAAGACTCTATTACAACTGTCATGACATTGCCGAGCTCTAAATGCCCAAACCTTTTTTGCAATATTCCTGAGGGCAGCCTATCAGTCTGTTGGGAAAATAATGAGCATTCTGTAGCATAAAAAACCTCATCGCTGCCGGGCAAATGAATTGTGTCGCGGAAAAAAATCAAGTTACTCTTTCGCTACAGCGACGCGATCTGTGCAATAACAATTGCGCTCATTATTTCCCCGACAGACTGATACAATGAGGAACCTGATCCGGTGGCAAAAAACGTACCATTTTGCATCCAGGAAGTATGAAAAAATGTGGCAAAATACCTCCCTCTCCAAGCGAAAAAACTCAGATTTCAAAAGCGCGCCCGTTCTTTTTGTGAGGAAAAACGGCGCGCCCTTCAAAAAAAAGTCTTTTCAGTTGGAGAGGGAAGCATTTTGCCATATTTTTGATACTTTCCCGGATGCAAAATGGTACGTTTTTTGCCACTGGGTCAGGCCCGCCACTGTAGATTAATGGAGCGCTCCAATACAAGCTTAAATGTACAATGTTTCAGCCTGTTTCATCTCCCAGCACAATCAGCTGAGCAAGCCGTCCATGGTGAAGATCAATAACAATCCCAACTACCGGATTGATTATTATGAAAATAGTTGCTTTAACAGTAAGTTCAAAGTCATTTTTATTACCTCATCCTTGTATTATTACCCTAAAAATCCAAATTTCCTCCGTTTTTTCTCTCCCCAATTTCCCATGTTTTCAGCCTCCGACACCTTCTCCTTCTCCTACACCTGCGAAGAAGAGGGTATTCGAGTCAAAGTTGAGTCCAAATTCCCCTATACTGGAGCGCTCTACGGTCTCTACGACTTTTTCACTTGCCGTGTTGAGCCGAAAGAAGAGAAGAATTTCGATCTTCTCTTCCCATACCCGAATAAGGCGAGAAACTGCAGTGACAGCATTCGCTACAAAGGAGATGAGATGATTTTGGAAGTGGTCTTGTCGACCGACGGTGTGGAGCCGCTTTACTTTATAACGTCGGACGATTTGACGTATCAGGCGAGATGTCCGATTGATTCGAAGAAGAGGTGAGTGGATTTTTTTGCAGGGTGTTGTACTAAACATTATAAAAAATTTTGGCATATATCTTTGTTCTCCTCGCTGCTATTCAAGAAATTTAAGTGGTGTTTACAATTTGAAGTCATATGGTTTTAGAATATGCAAAAGATTTTTTTCTCGCCTCGGCGGAGAGATTTTTTTCGGTGGAGACATTTGATGTCTTTTTTTGAAAATTACACTTTGTGACAAAGCCCAGACTTCTTTAGTATGGATGAAACTAGGTTCGTCACAGAGATGTATCACATATTTAGTGCTATATAAGTCCGTCGGAAAAATAGTGTGAGTTCCTGACATCGCCGATTATCGCTTTGCGACTGGTAATTTGGTGCGCGGCAGCACACGGCAACCCAGGGAGTCTCCCGACTCCTTTCGGCCCTTCGCCCACCTAGTATCGGTTGAATTCAAACGAAATGTCAAAAATGAATTTTTCGTGTGGTTTTCCGACCGAAAAATATTTTTCTCGGAATTATTTTGTTTATTTGATGAATTTTGACACTTCGTTGGGACGAAATTCAAAAGTGGGCGGGAGACATTTTTGTTCTATTTTGGGTTGCCGTGCAGTACCCTGTTTTCGAAGTCCGGACCTTTTGAGCCGCTGTAATTTTACCGATAGACTTATAGTGTGTCTGCAAAGTGGCTGAAGTGATTTCGGCGACATGCAATATGCGAAAAATGTCAGGGTGAGAGCGACAGCCGAAAAAAGCCTGTTGCACAGTGCAAATGAACTTTAGTTTTCGCACAGTGCTTGTCGCAAAAATCACTCTAGCGACTTGACGGACTGGTATTCACAAAGCTTTTGGCAAAAATTCAAATTCGTTGGTCACTCATGAAAGACTTTCCTCGGATTTTTGCCGAATTCTCCCTCAAATTTACGGTTTTTAATTCTTCTTCTGTTGCCCCTTGGTTCTAACCTCACTTCGACTGTTTTGACGCCGCAACTGACTAACATTTTTGCAGCACGACCACAACGGCGGCCAGTAATGTCAACGACAGCGTGCACTCGATGCTCAGCGCTCTGGCCGATGCGGAGCGGCAAGGGACATTTTTGGCAAAGTCTCAGAAAGTTCGAGTCTCAAGCTCGAAGGAGAGAACTCACGGTCTGGAGGCTTTCAATCCGGCTAACGAGGAGCTGACAAGTCGTTTCGAAAGCACAACCAAGGACGTTTTTCCGTTGCCGTTGCTGACCGTTGAGCCTTCGAAGAAGCCGATGGAAATAGTGACTTATACTGAAGCGCCGAGCAGCACAACTGTCACAACACCAACAACAACAACAACGACGAGTACTTCAACGAGGACTTCAACAACTACTACGACGACTACAACTACATCTACGACCACTCCCACGACCACAACTTTAGCTCAATTGTCATCAATTGAAGTGGTGACAATTCAAGCAAATTCGCTGCAAGATGTCAGCGAGTTGAGGGATAATCGCGTGACCAAGTCGATGGAGAAAATCGAACCGAAAGAATTCGATGGCAAACAGGACTTTAAGTAATAATTTTTTTTTATTTTTTTATTTTTATTTTTTAGTTTTTTGATATTTTTTTAAAATTTTCATTTTTTTCCGATGTAAAAACCGATTTTTATTAGTATTTATTTTTCATAAAGTGCATGGACATCTTCTCTCTTCCGCACAGTGCATCTTTCTTTTTTCCCACGCTTGTCGCCAACGCACAGTGCATTTTTTCCTTTTCGCACCGTGCAAACCTCAAAAAAGCCGTTTGCACTGTGCAAAGTTCTGGATGAAGAATTTGCACAGTGCAGCGACTGAATTGAAAACTCCTTATGTCGCAGCGATTCGGGGAGTTTCGGAATGTCGCCGGACTGAAATCGGACTGAAATCGCACTGTGCGAAAACAAAATTTTTCATTGGACTGTGCAATTTGTCGCTTTTTGCACCGTAAAAGAAGCTTTTTTTCGGCTGTCGCTCGCACCTTGAGTTTTTCGCACAGTGCAAACGCCCAAAATTGGTCCGGCGACTTTCCAAAAGAACATTTCGCCGCACGGTGCAAACACAAAAAAAAAGAAGTGGAATGCACGGTGCAGAAATGGGAGTTTTTTGTGCACGGTGCGGGTCGCAAAAATGTCCATGCACTTTATGAAAAAGCTAAAAAAAACTTATAGGCACTGCGGCCTTGAAAATCACGGTCTTTAGGCCCTTTTTTATCAGTCTGTGGGAAAAATAACGGCGGATCGTCGCAGCAAGATGTCTCGCCTCGCCGCTATCGCGCACCAAATCCCAAGTCGCGGCTTGCAGTCGCAAAGCGATGATGAGCGACTCCGAGGCGCGACGATCGCCGTTTTTTTCCCGACAGACCGATAGTCACTTTTATTTGATTTTTTATAAATCTTCCGGAAAAATAAAAAGAAATTTATTTTTTTCCTGTAAAAATTACTTTATTTACCCTCGCTATCCTCGCCATAACTCACAATTCTTCAGGTTCTCCACCCACATCACATTCCCAGCCAGTAGCAAGATCTCTATCAGCACTGGGAGCTCCAAAGAACAAACCACAGCCTACAGTACTACCACATCTACAACAACAGCCAAGCCTACGACTTCGGTGAAGACAACCACCTCTTCGCCGGCCACTACCACTTCGACAACCACCGCGGCATCCTCTACAACATCGACGACTACAACCGCCTCGCCTGCGGTGTTGTCGACATCAACGGCGGCGCTGAAAACACAGCCCGCGCCGCCTAGCCCAACGGAGAAGGCGACCACTGATGAGACGGTGTAAGTTTGTTTTTTTCAAGCGATTGGCTTTGCAGAGTTGCTTTTTTTCTACTTGGGAGCAGTTGTTTCACTACTAGGCCTCTCATAAAGTCGCTGGAGTGATTTTTGCGACAAGAACTGTGCGAAAACAAAAGCTTTATTTGCATTGTGCAATTTTTTGCTTTTTGCCCGGTGCAAATGACTTTTTTGGGCTCTCACTCGCACCCTGACTTTTCTTGCACAGTGAAAACGCCAGAAATAATTCCTATGACTTTTCTGATGAACCGTTAGCATTTTTAGAATTTTCATAAAGTGCATGGTGTCGAAAGGCCCGACAACACAGTAACGAGACGAGACGCTCAAGAGTCAACTGATTTATTCAGTGGAAAGTTGGCCTTTTATAGGGAAGCCCCACGTGGGAAAGTACAATCAAATTTGAATAAATGTAGATCGTTCCTCGTGGGAAAATCCTCGAAGCTCGGTCGTTCCGCCTCACACATGGACATTTGTCGCTCTACACACCGCGCACCAAAAAAAACCATTTATGCACTGTGAATTTCACTTTTCTTTTAGTTTTTCACTTTGCATTTGAAATATCGCTGCAACGTAAACTTTTTTCAACTACTTACAGCCTAAAAAAATTTTAAGTAGAAAAAGAAATTTTTTTCGAAAAAACAACAAGTTTACAAAAAATTTCACAGTAGTAGCGAACGTATAATATTTTAAAAACCCCGTGTTTCAGCGTCGGTCCTCCCGGCTCAAACCGACCGAAGAAAGCGGAAGAAGCAGTGGCCTTTGACATTTACAACAACGGTCATCCAGTTGATGCGGTCGTTTCGGGCAGTCGAATCACCTTGTCGTTTACGCCGTATTACGCTATTCCTCGTAAGTTTTGACAGAAAAAAAGTTGTACTGTGGTATCTTCAAAATTCAAACTATGATTGCTAAACAGGACAAACAAACTATCAAAAACATTGAAATAAAAATTAAGAAAAATCGTCGTTTTTTCAGCCGCCTACATGACGGTGACTGGATGCCAAGTGGAGTCGATTGAGCCACTGAATGAATGGGAAAAGGAGCCGTTCCCGATTCTCAAGGACGGCTGCCAAGCGGATCATTTCAATCTGGTCTGCCCTCCAGTGCATACCGACTACGGCGTGAGAGTTACGATGGAATCTTTCCGACTGCAGACCACTGCGCAAGTGCAATACACCTGTTTGGTCAGGATTTGCCCGTTCGCCGCTTGTCCGCAGGTGAGAAATGACACATTTTGGCACATTTTTTCATGTGTTTTTGTCGACATTGGAGGTCGTAAACGATGGAGAATACCAAGATTGAGGCCTCGGTTTGTCTAAAACTTATTTTTAGGCCCAAATTTAGAAGAAAAAGATCTCAAATACGGCGCTTATCGCTGGATTTTTTAAATTTTTTTATGGATATTGACCGTATATTAATTCCCAAAAATTTTGGCATGCGCGTGTATGTGTTTTGTTTACGTTTACAGAGAAAATTGTTGGGAAATCAGGGGATATGCGGTTGAAACTTTAATAGGATTTTAGTAAGTCTTGAGCCGGGCGCGATGTTGTGGTTAAATGAATAAAAATAGCAGAGGTTTTATGGATTTCCTAATGAACGTGAGAGTGTTAGAAAGTTCTGGAGATGTCAGTTCAGTTTGTCGGGAAAATAATGAGCACCCGGTCGCATTAACGATCGCGTTGCCGCCGAAAAAATAAAATTATCAGATTGCTTTACTTCAGCGAAGCGATTTGCTCAGAGACATTGACCTCATTATTTTCCCGACAGACTGATACGAACTAGAGAGCGTATGCAAAATATCGACATCACAGATCTTTTATCAGTCTGTCGGAGAATTAATGAGCACTATGTCTCGTCGAAAATTGCATCGCCGCCGAGAAGGTGAATTGTGTCGTGGCAAAATCAAATTGGCTTTCACTCTTCTGCGAAGCGATCGGCAGGGGCATTGTGCTCATTATTTTCCCGACAGACTGATATCGCATATGTCTCGGAATAAATTAGACAAAAAATTTGCCAATCTCCATCAAAACCTGAGGGTCGCAGTTTGAATCCGGCTCCGGCAAGCTTTCTTTAACTTTTATCCACAGTATTATAGCTCTTCCTATCAGTCTGTCGGGAAAGTAACGGCGGATCATCGCAGCAAAATGTTTTGCCTTGTCGAAAAAAGTTGTCGAAAAAGCAACCCAATTTTTTCGCAAATCCCAGCCGCGGCTAGCCGTCGCAAAGCGATAACGGGCGATTCCAAGGCGCTTTCCAATTCCAAGGCTCACCTTGAATAGGCACTATTTATATCTTTGGATAGGTCTTTTTTTCACGCTATCTGGAAGCCAACTTTTTACTCTTTTTCATTTTTGGGCTAGCTAGTTATCAGCCGAGGCGCGCAGCCCTGTTGGAATTTTTAGCGAAAATCGGGATAGATCGACAGCGGCAAAAAACCTCTGGATGCTATGGGATGGATAGAAACAGATAAAATGTATACCAAACTTTCCGTCGTTTTATATACTCATATTCACGACGAGCCCACATTATTTTCCGGACAGACTGATACCATACTGTAGTTGGTTTTTGATGTCCTTTAATTTTACGACACCATAATATCTTCTTTTATCTATTATTGCCGCAAATCAGGCCTCTTCTGCTAGAATTGTATGATCAATCTTGTTGTTTCCCCTCAGAACATCCACAAATCCCCGAGTTCCACTGTGCTTCTCCACTTTAGCCGTATTATAACCTCGAAACTGGCCGCTTAACTCTATTCTTGAGGGGATTTTCGTCCAAAAAACTTGTACATTTTGTGGTTCATCAGCGCGAAAAAAGTTTCAATCCGCCATTTGCGTTATTGTCACGTGGAAAAGGGATTGCCGGACGCTTTACGGTCTAAAGCATCCGGCTTGATTAATCCTACAATGGGCAATCAAAATGAGTGTGTAGGATGGGTTAAGCAGATTGCTTCGATCGTCTTATCGTCGCGTTTTTTTCGAGGATACGTGCCGAGAAAGGAATGCGGCATAATCGAGCAGTTTCAAGAGGCTAGAGAGGATAAATGGACGATAAATGTGGTTGAGGAAGACAGGATTTTCAGCGGATATTGAGGTGAAAAGAAGATAAGGAGAGCTTAAAAACTGATTTGCAAGGAAAACGGCAAATTTACGGGGAAAGTTCTCTAAGTGCGACGCTCAAATTTTGGTGAAAATTGGCACAATTTTAGATAATTTTTTCGAAGACAAGACACTTGCACTTTGCAGAAATTACCAAGATTTTTAGGCCGCAGTTGAGCAAAATTCGGCAAAAATGTAACCATATTCTTGGCGAATTTTGACATGTAAAGTTTCGTACTTGGTTGTAGCCGAGTATAATGTCTCCACAAAGATATACATTTCTGAACGCAAAACAGTAAAAGGTGTAACCATAGCGTTGAATATAGCGGCTGCCCCTGCAAAGCGCGGGCTAAAACCTTCGGGAATTGATACGAGGCGCGGTAACGTCGGCTCAGCTAACAAAACCAGAAATTTACATGTTTAGCCTTCTTGTATGACATAACCGATATTTGCTGCTCGCGGTTTGCAAAGACAGCAGAGATTTTTTTGATCAAAATTTGACGAAAACACTATAGTTTTTTTTTTCGAAATATCACTCTGTCGGAAAAATAATGAGCACAATGTTGCTGCGCCGAATGCGTTGTTGGAGTGAAAAACAGTTTGATTTTCCATGATACAACTCATTTCGTCGTTGGCAATGTGATTTTCGATGCGACAGAGTGCTCATTATTTTCCGGACAGTTTGATATTAGGAGACAGTGTCATAGATTTGGACCGATTTTGCTGACTTTAGTTTACCACCGTACCAAATATTTTTTTCAGACAACCTGCAGCCCAGTTGAGGGATGTCCGAGAGAGGACATTCTCTCTCGATCGCTCGGCCTTCGTCGAAGAAAGCGGAACTTGACTCTGGAGCAGATCAGAGCAGCATTGGCCGCCAACCCACTGCTCCAACAACAATTGGCTTTGAGCAGTCAAAACACGGCAATGAGTAATAGTAAGTTGAGATTTCAGTTTTTGAAAAAAATCGTTTGTTTACAAGAGATGTATCTCCAAGAACGGCACTCAGATTTTCTTTAAATTTTGTGTACTTTTTATGCATATACCACATATCAAAGACTGAAAATTTTAGCCCTCACTTTGCAGTGGCAGCCGAGATATTCAAAAATCTTTGCGGCCGAGAGAGTAGGCGAAACGCGGAGAGTGGGGAAAAAACTTTTTGGCCATATCGTTGCCAGTTTCATGCGGAAAAAATCGATTTTTTGTGGATACACTACCCTCTACGGTAGAAATAAGCTTGAAGCTTTTATTTTTTAAAGGACGCATCCCATAGACGCCAAGTTTGCGCTTTGCATAAACCATCGAGATTTTTATGTGAGAAGTTCAGAAAAAATGGCACATTTTTGCTAATTTAACCTTAAATTCGGCTTGCAGTGGACTTTTAGCTCGCGTTTTAAAGAAAAACCCGAGATTTTTTGGCCGAAAGGTGATGAAAAACCGAAATTTTTTTAGCGGATTTTGGCATGACAAAGTCTTTTGTGTATTTCTACCGTAGAGAGTAATGTTTCCACAAAAAATCAATTTTTGCCGCAAAAAACTGGAAAAGATATAGCCAAAAAGTGTTTTTCTCTCTGACCGCTCTCCGCGTTTGGCGTACTCTTTCGACCGCAAAAAAATTTTTTTTCTTGAAATGTTGCAATGCACAAGTTACAGTGACGGACCTGATCCAGTGGCAAAAAATGTACCATTTTGCATCGGGGAATTATCTGAAAATGCAGCAAAACACCTCCTTCATGAGTGGAGAGGGAAGCATTTTGCCACATTTTTGATGCTTCCCGGATGCAAAATGGTACGTTTTTTTCCACTGAATCAGGTCCGTCACTGTAACTTGTGCCTTGCAACATTTCCAGAAAAAAAAATTTTTTTTGCGGCCAAGAGAGTACGAAAAACCCAAAGAGCGGTCAGAGAGAAAAACACTTTTTGGCTATGTCTTTTCCAGTTTTGTGCGGCAAAAATTGATTTTTTGTGGAAACATTACTCTCTACGGAATACACAAAAGACTTTGTCATGCCAAAATTCGCTAAAAAAATTTCGATTTTTCATCAACTTTCGGCCAAAAAATCTCGGTTTTTTCTTTAAAACGTGAGCTAAAAGTCTTGCATATGTCTTAGAAAAAAAAAATTCTAAATTTGTCCCAAATTTCATCAAAATCTGAGCGTCCCAATTCACGCACTTCCTTCTTCTTTTGACTTTTCATTAAAATTTCCGTGCCGATACTTGAACCCTTAATTTTTCTTCTGTTTATGACTTTGGTGATATGTTTTTGAACCTATTAGTCAGATGCTGAGCGGCTTGCCGTACGGTTTGTAAATTTAAGCCGGTTTGTATTGGAGATCGGAAAACCAATTTCCTAAAATTTTTCGGATGTTTTTCTTCTTTTCGAATTTACAACGGGCTCTAAGTGCGGCGCTCGGAATTCCGTCGGATTTTGCACACACGTCGGGCATGGCTCACATACCAATTCTCGGAAGCGAAAAACAAAATCTGGGAAAATGAAAATACCAAACAGATTTGTCGTAATTAGCATTTTCATAAAGTGCATGGACTTTAAGCGAATTACAGAATTTTTTCAAATTTTGAACACACTTTGGGCACAGGCTGCATATCAATTCCTGAAAGTTTTAGCTTTCTCTTTGCAGGCACAGCCGAGATATTGAATGATCTTTGCGGCCGAGAGAGTACGCGAAAAGAAGAGAGCGGTCAGAGAAAAGAACACCTTTTTGGCCGTACCTTTGCCAGTTTGTGGCGTAAAATTTTGATTTTTTGTGGAGATATTACTCTCAACGGTAGAAATTGATATGAAAATTCTCATGCTAAAAAATCGCAAAAAAACTTTCACATTTTTTCCAACTTTCGACCTAAAAATCACTGTCGTTTCCGCAAAACGCAAGCTAGAAATGTCACAAAAGTCTTGGAAAAAAATATTCATAATTTTTGCCAATTCTCATCAAAATATGAGCATCGCACTTGGAGCGTATGCCAGGAAAATAATGAGCACATTGGGTCGCTGAAGTGAAAAGAAATTTGATTTTGCCGCGACACAATTCATTTTCTCGGCGGCGATTTGATTTTGGATGCGACAGAGTGCTCATTATTTTCCCGACAGACTGAAATAGGCCAAAAGGAGCCTCTGAACAACGAAACTTTTCTATAACGAATATTTTTTTTTGTTCATTTGCCATGCGTTGTATAGAGTTTAGACTACAGTGGGGGACCTGATCCAATTTCAAAAAACGTACCATTTTGCATCCGGGAAGTATCAAAAATGTGGCAAAATGCTTCCATCTCCAAGTGAAAAAACTTCGTTTTGTAGGGTACGCCCTTTCCCTCACGCTTTTTAAACCGGAGTTTTTCAGTGCGAGAGGGAGGCATTTTGCCACATTTTTTGATATATGTACTTGCTGGATGCAAAATGGTACGTTTTTTGCCACTGGATCAGGTCGCTGTAGAAACTGTAGAAACCGTTAAAGCCAATATATTCATCCAAAAATTAAGTGTTATATTTGAATTGTATTACTTAATATCCATATTAAAAATGATTTTCAGCCCTTCATCAACAACTCCTTGCCATTGGCGGAGACCATATCGTGCGCAAAAAGCTGATCGTCCTCAACTCGGAGGAGGAGCTGGAGTACTACGTGAAGACCGGAGAGCTCCCGGAACACCACGGAAAGTAACGCGCACTAAGGAGATTTGGAATTACAGTTTCTGCGACACCAAAAGCAAATTTGCAAATCGGGTATTATCTAATAATATTATATGTTGAATTACTGTCACCTTTTTTTCTTGTCAGTTCCTTTGAATGTGGGCTGTACAGCTGCTTTTGAACCGCGTTTTTTGTTGCTTGAGAGGCAAAATGTCCAGAAAATTACTTTCTTTCTTCTATTCAGTCTGTCGGGAAAATAATGACCACTCTGTCGCATCGAAAACCGTATCACCGTCGAGAAAATGAATTGTATCGCGGCAGAATCAAATTGCTCTTCAGTTCAGCGTCGTGATTGGCGTAGCAAAATTGTGCTCATTATTTTTCCGACAGACTGATATCAATAACTAAGCGGTGGGTTATGGCACAGTCTTCTATATATTAGAGGTAAACAAACTTTTGATTTCGCTTCCCAAGCCTTAATAAAATAAACCGCAATTTTAAAAAATAGCTGTACTGGCCGTTTAAGTGGGGCTGTTTCGTACCTGCCGACGTATTGTATAAATTATTAATTAATAAAGATGTTTATTTCAAGATTTTTGTGTGATTATTTTCACGCTCAACAACGCAGGTCAAACTGAGGAGTCCGGTCACCGGAATAGACTCTTCGCTATCGGTTTTTTACACTTCGTCTTGATTTTACAGAGAAGACAGGGGAAAGAGGTGCGAAAACGTACGCCCTTGCCCCAAAAACTCCAAATTTCTTCCCCGACAAAAGGTTTTTTCGCGGTTTTTTTTGCGAAATGCTAATCCATCCGCCGGACCGTTTTATTAGGGTGTCCCATAAGTCTTGCAAATTTTTGGGTTTAAGAATTAACGTCTCATTTCGAGGCCTAAAGAATTGCACTCCTGAATGTTTGGTACTGTTAGAACCGCCATCTCTTACACTTGTTAACAGCATAAAAATTTGAACTAAACACATGCCCTCCGGGCAAATACTTGACGTTCTTTAATACCATCCAGTTTTTAGAAGGGTTAGGAAAACGATTCCGTTCTTTGGTAAGTGAAGCTTGTCGCAGTTTGACGTGCGGTGCACTTTACAGCTGATTTCAACCAGAGGTGTGGTATCAATCTGTCGGGAACAGAGTGAACGCACTTTTCACTAATACTAATAGGTATTGAATAGCTTATGGCAAGCGAAAAATACAGTAACTTGTGGCAAACTAGAAGTACTCTATATGGGATCAATTTACATGGGAAGTACCCCAAGTGCAACGCTCGGATTCTCATCAAACTCGGCACAAAATTAGAATAATTTTTCCTAAGGCATTTGCGAGAATCCTAGCTCTCGCTTTGCAGAAACGGCCAACAAATCCGGGCGTCACATTCGGGGTACCTTACGCCAAACTGGGACAAGCTAAAAGGGACCGGTGAATGGATTGACAATTACAGTGAGAGGGACCTGATCCAGTGGCAAAAAATGTATCATTCTGCATCCGGGAAGTACCAAAAATGTGGCAAAATGTCTCTCTCTCTCCAAATGAAAAAAAAACTCCATTTTGAACTGCGCGCCCTTTCTCCCACAGAAAGAGTGGGCGCGCTTTTGAAATCTGATTGTGAGTTTCTTCACTTGGAGAGGGAGGTATTTTGCCACATTTTTTGATACTTCCTGGATGCAAAATGGTAGTTTTTTGACCAATGGATCAGGTCCGCCACGGTAACCAAAAAGAGACGTGAAAAAGCTTTTTGTCGGGAAAGAAATGGGGAACTTTTGGGGCGAGAGAGTACGTTTTTGCACGTCTTTTCTCTGTCTTCTCTGTGAAATCAAGACGAAGTGTAAAAAACCGTTAGCAAAGGGCTATTCCGGTCACCGGACTCCTACGACCATCCTTGTCAGCCAAAATGATGAAAATGACGCCAATTTGGCGTCAGATTGGAAAAAAATCGATCGAATTATCTACCCTAATTTGAGATTGTATCATGACGTAAATCATGTGCGCTTTTGCCTGCTGCTTTAATAAAGATTATTGTTGCGTAGGACTGCTTGAAAATTGTCCCCGCTGGTCAACGGCCCCTTCAAAATCTGAATTTTTTAATTTTTTATTCGCTATATTTCTTCACCTAATAGTTCATTCAATTCGTTGTAACCCCTGCTCCTTTTCGGGTATATCCGTGAAGATTGTCAAAAGAATTTACACTCTCGTCACTCACAAAGTTTTAATCCACTAAAATGATATATTCCACAGCCCGTCTTCATTAATATTAGCAACTCTGTGCGGGCGTCAAATGTATATACGAAGCAACACGACACGATACATCCAAATGTTTTTTGGCGTGGCATAAGTGATGAGAAAGTTCATTTCTTCGCGTCATTGTAACTAAAAATTTATTTGAATGTTTCATCCGATGATTCTTTTGTTAATTCCCTTCAGGGGTTTGCTTAAAGTGCGTTTTGTTGAATTAAAAATTCACAATGAAAGCGGATTTTGGATACTGTAGGTAGGGCTTAGATTTGGCCACTAAAAAGCGACGTTGACAAAGGAAAGTGCTCGAAGCGCGACGATCAGATTTTGACAAAAAAGTTGGCATAAATTTATAAGAATTCTTTATTAGATATATCTGGTACTCCTAGGATGCGCTAGAAACTAGCGAGGTTTTCAGATTGAAAGTTGGTAAAAATATGGCGTTTTTTTGCAAATTTCGAAAAAAAAATTGTCATTGGTGGATTCTGTAGCATCAGCGTAGAGTCAACAAAACTAAGTTTAGCTGGGGAGTATCCCAAGTGTGCGACGCGCAAATTTTGAAGAATAGGCCCGTAGGTAGAGTCCAGACTTGTGGGAAAAAACGTTACGGACAACTACAATGACCTGATCCAGTGTCAAAAAACGTACCATTTTGCGTTCGGGAAGCATCAAAAATGTGGCAAAATGCTTCCCTCTCCAAGCGGAAAAATTTAGTTTTGGAGGGAGCGCCCTTTCCCTCACAGACAGAGCAGGCACGCTTTTGAAATCGGGGTTTTTTCGCTTGGAGAGGGAAGCATTTTGCCACATTTTTGATACTTCCCGGATTCTAAACGGTACGTTTTTTGTCACTGGATCAGGTCCCCCACTGTAGAAGAACCACTGAGATTCTGCCAGTTGAGAACAAACTCCCATAGCTTTGAAAGCGGTGATGAATTCAAATGATTCGTCTAGTTATCTGTACCAGGGAGCTTTCATTGCATAATTTTTGTCATACTACGCAGATTACAGGAGGAAAATCGTAATTCTAATCGGAAAATGTCGTTGCTCGCAAGTGTCGCGACACCAGACCTCAGCTCGCGCTTAGAAAAAAATGTTGTTGCTTCAATAGCAAGCTAATGGAAATGGCAAAAAATGAAGCCAAAAAATCTAAGCCGGTCTTAAAGCTTCCTGAACGCGTTCGATAAACAGAACGGTTTTGAAACCCATAGTGCATTGAAAGGGAACCGAAACATATGCGTTTGTAATCAACGATCTTTCAAAACCCTTATCATTTCAAAGGCTTGTCGTCGAAAAACGAAAAAAATCACTCATTTATTGATAAAACCGCTTTTTATTCGTCCTTGTTTATTCACAAGGGAGGTGCTCAAAGTGCGACTCTCAGATTTTTTTGATTTTTTTTATAAATTTCACACACATTTTGCTGAAAAGTTTAGCTTTTGCTTTGCAGCGGCAGCTGAGATATCCAGCAAAGGCCGAGAGAGTATGCGAAACGCGGAGAGCGGTCATAGAAAAAACTTCTTTTGGCAATATCTTTGCCATTTTCGCATGGTAAAAAATGATTTTTTGTGGAGACATTACTGTTTACGGAAGAAATAGGTATGAAACTTTTTGTGGCAAAATTAGCAAAAAAAAAAACTTTCACATTTTTCCAACTTTCGACCAAAAAATCTCGGTTGTTTCTGCAAAGCGCGAGCTGGGAGTCTGGTAAATGTCTATAAAGTATTATTATAAATTTGTGACAAGTTTTATCGACATCTCAGCGTCGGACTTTGAAAACTTATCTCGTTTTTCCTCGGTCAATTTTTCCGTTGATCTTTCGCTAAACTTTTCTGTTTGATCTCTGAGTTTTCAAGGTGCTGTAAAGAGATGCCAGATGACATTGAAAACGGCGAGAAAAGGCCGTTGCTGCGCAAGTCGACGTCAGAGCCTGCAACGGACTCCGAGGATCCTCGGATTCGACTTGCCAATCCACAGAAGTTGGGGTATTTCGAGAAGAAGCGAAGGATCAAAGAGCTGAAGAATGTGAGTCTCGGTTTTGATTCGAGGTTTTCGAGTTTAGGGTAATACTATCAGTCTGTCGGGAAAATAACGGCGGATCGTCGCATCAAAATGTCTCGCCTCGCCGCTATCGCGCACCAAATCCCCAGCCGCGGCTTGAAGTCGCAAAGCGATGGTGGGCGATTCCGAGGCGCGACGATCCGCCGTTATTTTTCCGACAGACTGATAGTCCGTTTGCGGAGTGGTTGAAGTGTTTTTTTTGGTGTTTGCACTGTGTAGAAAGTCAGGGTGCGAGCGACAACTCAAAAAAGCCTTTTGCACAGTGGAAAAAGCAAGAAGTTGCAAACAATGATTCAAGCGACTTTGTGAACGGACTGTGTGTTTCCTCCAACGTCTCTGGATTAACTCCGACCGCTTTTTAACAGTTTCTTACGAGGATTTTATTTCAATTTTACACACGTTTCGGTTTCGGGTGTCGGAAAAATAATGAGCTCAATGCCGCTGCGCCGCTTGCGCCACTGCAGCCAAAAGCGACTTGATTTTGCCACGACACAATTCAATTCCTCGGCGGCGATACTATTTTCGATGCGACAGGTTGCTCATTATTTTCCCGCGAGACTGTTAACGAAGGAACTTTTTCGCATAGTGGGTATTGCCGAATTTCAGCGCGGCTCTACAGTATTCGTCCAAAAAACTCATTTCTAATTTTGGGGTACTCAAGCTAAAGACATGACGTGAGAATTTCAATGTCTTTCCAGTAAAACTCTCACATTTGTCCATCAAAATTATTGCGGCGGTTTTCGAACCTTTTAATCCGATGTCTCGCCTATTTTGGTGAGCTAGTTTTTAATGCCTCAAGGTCAAAATTTTTCGCTAATGGCGGGACATCCGGTAAATCCGCGACCCACTCTCGATACAGCCATCAACTCGGAATAATTTACGACCGCTGGACTGGAGAGTTGTAAAGTGGCGGGCGGAAGCGGCCATCTCAGCCGATTACACGACGACCCGAAAAGTCATTGTTTTAACGCACTTCTGTTTATTAAAATACAACACGTGTGGGGCTATTTTTGTGGGACTGACGATACTAGTCCTCCCGGAAAGTCGCCAGACTGATTTTTGGCGTTTGCACTGTGCGAAAAAGTAAGGGTTCGAGCGACAACAGGAAAACCCTTATTGCACGGTGCAAAGAAAACTTTTTTTTATATTTTACGGTGCGCGTCGCCGATAGCAACGGGGCGACTTTTCGGAACGACTATTAGAAGTGATGATACAGTCAAAACTTTGTGCAAGAGATGATAAAATTTGTTGTTTTCGGAGGTTCATTTTGGCACAAAAACACTTGGGCTACACCCTCTGTAAACGGCTGTTTCTAAAGGCCACGCTTACAGTATCAGCCTGTCAGGAAAATAGAAAGCACTCGTTGCATAAAAAATGGCAGTCTCGCCGAGGAAATGAATTGTGTCGCGGCAAGACCAATTTCACTTCAGCGACGCGATACATGTGGCTAATTGTTATACTAGTCCGTTCGTAAAGTCGCTGGAATGATTTCGGCGACGCGCACTGTGCAAGAAAACTCAGGGTGCGGGCGACGGCCCAAAAAAGCCTAATGCACTGTGCAAAAGGCCAAAAATTGCACAGTGCAAAGTGAACCTTCGGTTTCGCGGAGTGCATGTCGCCGAAAACATTCCAGCGACTTTACGAACGGACTAGTACTCCTTGGGCTTTAGAAATTGCTTGCTACAAGCAGGTTTCGCTGTACCGGGGTTTGTTGTGGTAGATTGCACTGTCTTTAACTGGGTTCTGCTTTACAGGGGAAGTACTCCAAGTGCTACGCTCAGATTTTGATGAAACTTGGCACAACTTTAGAATAATTTTTTCTAAAATATATGCGAGAATCCTAGCTCGCGCTTTGCAGAAACAACCGAGATTTTTAGATCAAAAGTCGGCCAAAATTTAGGACTTTTTGTCGAATTTCGGCACGAAAAGTTTCATAAAAAAAGGATGATGTTTCTACAAAAAAGGATAATGTTTCTACAACAAATCAAATTTTTCCGCACGAAACTGCCAAAGTTATGGCCAAAAAGCGCTTTTCTCTCTGACCGCTCTCCACGTTGAGCGTGCTCTCTCGGCGGCAAAAATCGTTCGATATCTCGGCGGCGCCCGCAAAGCGCGAGCTAAAACTTTCAGGAATTGATATTTAGTCCATTCCCGAAGTGTGTGAAAAATTTAAAGAAAATCTGAGCGTCGCACTGAAGTACTTCCCCTGTTGTTACAACGCCCACAAAGGAAGTGCCCCAAATGCAATGGTCAGATTTTCTTTAAATTTTACACGCTTCGGGAATAGACTAGATATCAATTCCTGAAAATTTTAGCTCACGCTTTGGTGATATTCAACCATCTTTGCGGCCGAGACAGTACATGAACTGCGGAGAGCGATCAGAGAAAAAATATTTTTTTACCGTACCTTTGCTGGTTTCGCGTGCCAAACATTGTTTTGCCTGTAAAAATGTTCATAAATAATCTGTCGGAAGCTAAAATCATAACATCAACAATAACAGAAACGGCGTCTGGCGTGCCATTTAGATGATTGCAACGCTCGTGGCGTCTAAAAAAGCCGGGATTAGAGGGTGCTCTCACTAAAATTAATACCAATGTGGCGTCATAGACGTTGGTTATTTTTCAACGACTTTCGTTGTGTTTTCAACTGTCTGAGAATGCATAATTACAGTTTACTGTACTTCCACGCTTTATTTTTAACTTGTTTGAGGCTTAGCAAGTTGTTTCAAGGATCAACGGAAATAAAAAAATCTTTGTTTGGAGCCGACAAGCCCTTCCGGATCCGCAAACGACAAAGTTTCCGGCTTATCGTTAGCGTCTTATCCTTTTTTGCACATTCCTTCAGAGCATAATCCGTTGTTTGCGGGCTCAACGGAAACGCGTAGCAAGCGAGAGCTACCAGTTGAACTCAAGGATTTATTAGGGAAAATGAGACAAGATTGTAATCTGCGATTATCACTCAGTCGGGAAAATAATGAGCATTGTGTCGCATGGGAAATCGCATCAACGCTGAGAAAGTGGATTGTATCGCGACAAGTGGAAAGAAATGAATCAGATTTCTTTCCATTTTAGCGAAGAGGTTAGCGCGGACTAGAATAAGATCCAAAGCTCTCATGCGTCCTATTTTCACGTTTGGTGGGCCAACAGATCTATTTTTACAAAGCATATGTCCATCTTAAAATCAGCAGGCTTTTTCTTACAGGGGAAGTACTCCAAGTGCGACGCTCAGATCTTTAAATTTTGTACATACGTCGGGTATGGATTAGATATCTATTCCTGAAAGCTTTAGCTCGCGCTTTGCGGGCGCCGCCGAGGGAGCAAGCGAAACGTGGAGAGGGGCCAGAGAAAATTTTTGATTTTTAGTAGAAACATTGTCCTACAGCAGGAATAGGCATAAAACTTTTCGTGCCGAAATTCGGCAAAAAGTCCTAAATTTTCGCCGACTTTCAATCTAAAAATCTCGGTTATTTCTGCAAAGCGCGAGCTAGAATTCACACACATATCTTAGAAAAAAATGTTCTAAATTTGTGCCAAGTTTCATCAAAATCTGAGCGTCGCACTTGGAGTACTTCCCCTGTTAATGTCAAGTACAATATCGGGGCAGTGTGGGTAGCAGGTGGACCTTATGTGGCCTTCTCATATACGATTTAGAAGCGCTTTATTTGCGCTTCAAACCATTATATCCAACATACTCCGTAAGGCGTTTCAAAGCTTACAAGAATTCGCACAAATTGACGACTTAAAAATTTGCAAGACTTATGGGACACCTTAATATTTCGAGGCATTTTGCCAACCTGAGCGGTAAACACCGATCCAGAAAATCTCACTAAAATTTTTGGTCAGGAGCCTGCCCATTTTGCGCGGAAATTTTTCGATTTCGGCCTGGTTAACAAACAAGCTTCACAAAAAAATTTTGAAAAAAGCGTTGCGTTTTTTAATTAAAAGAGCTTGATTTCGGTCTGCAAAACAGCAAGCGCCATGTCGCTGCCTCGATTGCTTCACTGAAGTTATAAAGAAATCTGATTTTGTTGCCACACAATTCATTTTTTCGACGACGATGCGATTTTCGATGTGACAGAGTGCTCATTATTTTCCCGACAGACTTATATTTTGTTTCAAAAGGATACGACCACAAAATTTCATTTTAAAAGTTTTTTTTCAGTTCTACGAGCGACAAGACAGGCTTAGCCAGCTGGTCGAAGAAGACATCAAAAATTTGCATCCAGACAATGCGGAAAGGCGATGCGAAGAGGCTCACGAAGAATACAGCAACAATTTGGTGTGGGATCGACGGTTTGCTTCGGCGATTTTCGTTATGAATTTGCTGATTTTGGGTGGAAATTTGGCGGCCGCCTTTTTGTCCGGATCCTATTCGGTGATCAGGTAGGAAAGCGGACTTACTATTGCAGAAAAACGAAGGGAAATTTTTTGATTTTCCCGGAAGTACGGGGCTTATTCATTCGTAAATTTTTCATAATGCAAATTGACCAGTTGGACTTGTTTTTGAGGAAGAAAACAAGGCAATTATAATATGTACACAGCTGTTTCTGACATTTTTTATATAAAAAAATGTTTTATACACGTGTAGTTTATATATATTTTCGTATACGAAAAAAAACATCGTAATAGCATCAATTTTGCACATAATATCCTTATTTGTAATCAAAACTCCTTTTTTTCAGTGCCTTTGTCGACTCGAGTATGGACATTGTCAGCAGTGTCATCGTGTACATCACTGTCTATCTGATCACTCACACCAACAAATTCAACTATCCGCGCGGCCGACAGCGCTTGGAGCTGATGGCCGTGATCAGTTGCTCCATTTTTATGGGAGTCGCAAATATCATGATGATTATTCAGTCAGTCGAGGCGATTGTTATGGGCTCGGTAAGGAAGCGACTGTGGATTAAGGTTTTTGCTAAGAGCTAGGGGCTAAGAAATGTTGGCTAAAGTGAATGTTGTTGGATTAAAATCCAAATTTTATACGTGGATTTTGGATACTGGATGTTTCAAGAAATTTTGTAAAAGTTTTTTGCTTATATCTTTCTGCTCCTTGCAGATATTCAAAAAGTTTAAGTGGTATTTGAAATTCGAATTCGTGCGTTTTTAGAATATGCAAAAGAATTTTTACTTGTCTCGGCGGAGGGACCATTTTTCGGCAGAGACATTTGATGTCTTTTTTGAAAATTATACCGCGTTACAGAGCCCGGACTTTTCGACTACGGATGAAATTAGGTTTTCCACATCTGATAGGACATAATCTGTTAGTCTCGGGAGCTTGGCGGATGTTTCACGCATCGGCGAAGGCTCGGCGGAGGCAGTTTTGGGGACATGGCTTTTGCAAATCGAATTGAAAAATTTTCTCTGGTCAGATAAACTTCCTTATAGGGGAGTACCCCAAGCGCGACGCTCAGATTTTGATGAAACTTGGCACAAATTTAGAATAATTTTTTCTATAATATTATATGCGAGGATCTTAGCTTACGCTTTGCAGAAACAACCAAGATTTTTTAACTGAAAGCTGGCGAAAATTTGACACTTTTTGCCAAATTTCGACACAAAGGGTTTCATGCCTATTTCTACCACAGAGGGCAATGTTTCCACAAAAAATCGATTTTTTTCGCAAGAAACTGTTAAAGTTATGGCCAAAAAGCGCTTTTCTCTCTGACCGCTCTCCACGTTGAGGGTGCTCTCTCGGCGGCAAAAATCGTTCGATATTTCAGCGGCGCCCGCAAAGCCGCAAAGCGCGAGCTAAAACTTTCAGGAATTGATATTTAGTCCATACGTGTGTGCAAAATTTAAAGAAAATCTGAGCGTCGCACTTGAAGTAATTCCCCTGTTAGTTCTTGGCCGAGGTGTGTGCAAAGTTTCAAGAAAATCTGAGCGTTGCACTTGGGGCACTTCCCTAGTTAGTTTACCTTGCACTGCTTACTCCATTCGGAGGAAGAGAAGTCCATCGGAACAAAAAAAATCGATGATTTTTGATGAAAGATTGGCCCTCATTTCGCCACATTTCCGTGTCTTTGAGCCTTCCTAATCTCGCATTTTTCTGGAACAACTACCACTAATACAAGCCTACAATTGAATACAACGCCGCAAACATAGTTTTCTTCAATCTTTGCTCAACAAATCTCAGCGGTTTCTGAACCGTATGAGCTTTGAGTCACTCGCTACGAACTCGCCTATATAGCGTACTGTAGCCTACGAAAACAAATGTAAATACATTTATCCGTAAATTTAATATGCGGAGCGGATGTACGCAGTGCACATACTACAGTTTGTGCGTGAACAAAAACACAGGCAATATTATGGCCATTTATCTCGAAATTTTATGAGAATTGATACAAAACAGCAACTTTATTGGGTATTTCATCCCCAAATTTCACCTAAACTTTAACGCGCTCTTATTTTTATCCGTTGCATTCAACACTTGTAGGGGACGAAAAATATTTTTTTGTTTTTGAAACCAGTGACATTTGGTAAAAATATGCCCCTACAATTGCAAACGGAGATGTTTGAAATAGCGCGGGGACTAAAGAATGATCCGGAGAAACGTCGAAAAGCCCAGCATTAATACAGAAAATACCCCCCGGCGAACATGTGAACCCATTTCGTTGAATTTTGTTTTGACAAAGAATTTCCAGAATTAACGTCAAAAGCCTTAAGCGGATTCGCGGGAGTGTACAAGATCGCTGAATCACGTGTCTGCATTTTTTTTGGTGGATACGGAGACGTCAGCGGATTGGGAGAATTTGGAGACAGATACGAAAGCTGATACTATTATCAGTCTGTCCGGAAAAGACAGACTGATAGTATAGTATTAGCAAGATGGCACGTCAAACTGAGACAAGCTAAAACGATCCGGTGAATCGGTTGGCAATTCGCTAAAAAAGACGAGAAAAAACGTTTTGTCAGCGAAGAAATGGGGATTTTTTCGGACGAGAGAGTACGTTTTTGCGCGTCTTTTTTCTGTCTTCTCTGCGAAATCAAGACGAAGTGTAAAAAACCGATAGCGAAGAGTCTATTCCGGGGCGGGCGCAGACTTGCGGGCAACCAGTTCGCGGGCAAATTTTTTGCGGGCAGCTACTTTGCGGGCAGCCGACATTTGCGGCCAGCACCGGCATTTGCGGGCAGCCTGGAAGATTTGCGGGCAGCCGAAATTTGCGGGCAACCGGAAAAATTACTTCGATATTTTTGAAGTTTTCCGACATTTGCGGGCAGGCAATACTTGCGGGAAACCGACATTTGCGGGCAACAGTTCCAAAAGTTTCTATACAGTCTGTGTGATTGTTTTTTCCTGTTCCCGCAAATGTCGGCTGCCCGCAAATGTCGTCAAATTTCAAAAATATCGCAGTAATATTTCCACCTCCACCCTGTTACCCTCAGGTGCCGGTTGCCCGCAAATGTCGGTTGCCCGCAAGTGTCCCAGGCTGCCCGCAAGTGTCTCAGCTGCCCGCAAATGTTTCAGCTGCCCGCAAATGTGACCCCCCAAATTTTGCCGCAAAGTGGTTCCCCGCAAAAAAATTGCCCGCAAACAGGTTGCCCGCAAGTGTCGCGACGCCTATTCCGGTGACCGGACTGCTCAGTTTGAGGTGCATTGCGCGGAAAAGACTGATTTTTAATGAAAATATTGTGCGTCACATGCAAACCAAAACGTTTTCAGACTTATCAATCCTCAAAAATGTCTCGTACTTTCTCCTTGTTTTGAGCCAAGAATGTAGGAAGTTTTGGCACATATCTACAGTGGGGGACCTGATCCAGTGGCAAAAAACGTAGCAATTTGCATCCGGGAAGTATCAAAAATGTGGCAAAATTCTTCCCTCTCCAAGTGAAAAAACTCCGACTTCAAAAGCGCGCCCGCTCTTTTTGTGAGGGAAAGGACCCTTAAAAACGAGGTTTTTTCACTTGTAGAGGGAAGCATTTTGCCACATTCGTGATCCTTCCCGGATGCAAAATGGTACGTTTTTTGCCACTGGATCGGGTTCGTCACTGTAAGTGCCAAAATTCCACGGACTTTAGGTAAGTACCTTGCCATATACGCGATTAGTATATGGCGAGGTACTTTTCAGTCTGTCGGGAAAATAATGGGCACTGCTTTGCTGTCGCTGCCTCGATACATACGCCACTGAATTGAGAAGCAATTTGATTTTGCCGCGAAACAGTGCATTTTCTCGGCGGCGATGCGATTTTCGCCGCTACAGAGTGCTCATTATTTTCTCCGCGGCACAATTCAGTTTATTCAAGTTTTTAATAACCAAATTTTAATAAAAGCTGATAGTTTTTATGCAAATTTTCGCAAATTATTCAAATTTTTTTCTTCAAATTTCAGGTCGATCCGGACGCAAATCTCCCGACGCTTGCGATCATGGGCAGTGCAATCCTGATCAAGTCCATCGTCATGGTGCTGTGCTACAGTCACGGCACAACGAACTCAAAAATTTTGGCATTGGACCAACGCAACGACATCATAACCAGCATCGTTGCGGTGTGCGGCGCCGTCCTCGGCGACTACTATTGGCCGTATGCGGACCCAATCGGCGCTATTCTCGTATGGTAGGTGACAGAGGGCACTCGAAATTATCCGCTATATCACATTTTTTAATTTATCACATGGAAGACCGCTCCGTTTGACCTATTTGTTTGTCAACAGTCCACCCTCTGGTTGCACTTGGTTGTCATCGGCGTTGACATGCGATGATTATACCATTTTTAATGCCCAAAAATAGAAAGAAAGTGCGCAATATTCTAATGAATGGGATATTTGGTCGAAAAAAACTATGAAAAAGTTTGAAAGGAGGGGAGGAATTTTTGAGAGTGTTTTGAAATTATGACTTTCCAAATTACAGTGGGGGACCTGATCCATTACTATGTACACAGGCATGGGTGAGAGGGGAATGAAAGAGATGGTGGCAGGGGTACATGATGTGATCAAGTGATTTGATCAAAGGATAGGATTTTTTGGGAGAAAAAATGACGAATTTTGAGGGGAAATGATGAAATTTTCTAAAATGATGACTTTAGTTTTCAAAAAATAATTTTTTCAGAGGAAAAGTAGAGATTTTCCCTCAAAACCACCAAAGTTAGAAGTAAGAGACTACAGTGGCGGACCTGATCCAGTGGCAAAAAACGTGCTATTTTGCATCCAGGAAGTATCAAAAATGTGGCAAAGTGCTTCCCTCTCCAAGTGAAAAAACTTCGTTTTGAAGGGCGCGCCCTTTGTCCTCACAGAAAGAGCGGGCGCGCTTTTGAAGCCTGAGTTTTTTACTTGGAGAGGGAGGTATTTTGCCACATTTTTGACACTTCCTGGATGCAAAATAGTACGTTTTTTTGCCACTGGATCATGTTTCCCTCTGTACTAGTCTCCCCGCAAAGTCGCTGTAGTGATTTTTGCAACATGCACTGTGAAGAAAAAGTCAGAGTGCAAGCGACAGCCCAGAAAAGCCTATTGCACGGTGCAAAGTGCAGACATTTGTAGACATTTGTTTTCTCACAGTCAGAGATTGATGTGAGTACATGCAAACTATCTCAAAATAGGTGATAGGCTATCTGAGAAGCCGATCAATCTTATTATTTCTACAACTAAGCCTTCTCCTACCCTTCCCCATGCATTCAACGAAAAACCAACGCGACCCAGAGTATCATTGACCCGAAAAGTCGTAGCCCCTGCACTCTATATTGGCTGAAAATTTTCGTTTCAGCACCTTCATCGCGATTAGTTGGTTCTCCAACGCGTTCGAGCAGATCCCCATGGTGGTGGGGAAGCGGGCCGAGCAAGAGCACGTCAGCCGCATCCTCGCCATCTCCATTTCGCACGACCCGCGCATCAAATGCCTCGACCACATCATGTGCTATCATGTCGGGGAGAAGGCGTTGGTGGAGCTGCACGTTGTGCTGGACGAGGACCTGCCGTTGAAGGAGACGCATGACATTTGCGAGTCATTGCAGGACAAACTGAACGGCCTGGACTTTGTGGAGCGGACTTTTATTCATGTTGATTACTTCTGTGATGGATGCCATGATGGGAATTAAAGGTGCCTTCAATTGTAAGCAGATTTTTGCTTGAGATTGTAATAAAACTGGTCGTCTTTTGCAAATTTTTGAAATTTTTTGGTAACAGCTTGGACGAAACATATAAGCTTCAAAAATACATTTTTTTGACTCCTATTTTATGTTTACGTTTGTTAAAGACCATGTTAAAAGGTTCTATTTACATAAAGAGTCTGATCTTTCGCTGTTTCACAGCCTTTACGCAAGTCGGAAATAACCTTTAGGCCCGCATTTAGTACCCATTCAGAATTTGTTTACCCAACAAATACTTTTACCGTATATGGCGGCGGTATTAATAGAGATTTGAGACATGCCTCCGGCATAAATTCGGGGGAAAAATCTCCTGATTTTCTACGTTATTTTGAGACAGCACGTCAAAAATTCTACGGGCTTTATGGCGCGACTGGTACGTTAAAAATAGCGCCAGTTTTCAACACTGTGGCCAATCAAATTTGTTGAACTTTTGGTAAATTTTTTGGGGGTTTTTTGCGGGTCTTGGCACGAAAAATATCTGTTTGATTTTTACAGGAGAGGGCAATATTTTTATCCAAAAAAAACGTACAGTGAGGGACCTGATCCAATGGCAAAAAACGTGTCATTTTGCATCCCGGAGAAGGCCAAAATGACTCCAAACCCTTCCCTTCTCTAGGCTAAAAGACTCCGCTTTGAAAAGCGCGCCCTCTCCTTCAAGGCGGGCTCTTCAAAGCGGGGTTTTTTTAGCTTAGAGAAGGGAAGGGTTTGGAGACATTTTGGTCCCTTCCGGGATGCAAAATGACACGTTTTTTGCCATTGGATCCGGTCCCTCACTGTATGTAATAATGAGCGCTCTGCCGGGTCAAACATCGCATCGCCAACGAGGAAATGAATTGTGTCACGGCGAAATCAAATTATTTTTCATTTCCACGACATTGTCCTCATCACTTTCCCGACAGACAGATAAGTCAGTAACCATTTTAACTAGTGTAAGGACAATAAACTTTAACCGCCGAGTTTAACCCAATTTTGGCTAACCTTTAACGCAATGTCATCATTTTGTGCTTTCAACTCAATGGTGTGTAGTCTGAGCGGGGTTTGTAGTCCAGGAAGGAAGTTTCGTTCAGACAGAAATGTTCTGGCCCTTTTGTAACAGTCTGTCTGTCGGGAAAATAATGAGCACTTTTTGTATTGAAAACCCGCCGAAAAAAATGACTTGTCTCGCGGCAAACTCAAATTGCTTTTGACCTCAGCAACCCGATTGGCGCAGCGAAACTTTGCCCATTATTTTCCCGACAGACTATTTTTGTTGTTTGTCCTTTGGCCTCGAGGCTTCCCCCACCTACTCTCGGATTAGCGACAGAAAGGTTTCCAAAAGTTTTCAACCAAAAGTTCAACGGCCCTTTAATCCTCCGCATGGTGGCCAAGCCTTGGGGATAAACAGAAGACCTTCTAGGGATATGATTAGAAATTTCTGTCTAATTAGCAGATAGATAAGCTGTTCATAATAGGATAACAGAGTGATGTCTGTGGGGGTGAGGAAGAAAAAACAAATCAAAGATTTTAAGCGGCTTTAAGGGTTAAAACTTGCGAAAAATCCGGAGGGATTGGATTTTGATGAAATTTTACAAAGGTTGTAAATTTTTTGATAAGTTTACAATCCTAAATTTTGTGATAAGTTTACAATCCTTCGTCCCTGGGATAGTGCAAGAGTCGAGATCTTTTTGTGATCCTGAACGATCTTGAAAGGCCAATTCCGCAGCAAGTTTTTTAGGTTGCACATAAGCGATAGCATGGATACCGGAATGGTGCCTAAGGGCCCTCGGGTAGTCAGTCGAGTAGTACGCGTTTTAAATAGTGGGTCGAAGTTTTTGTAAACGCCGTTTCAAGAAATGTATTAAATGAGCTAATTTTTCGAGCATTGTGTTATGAGTCTGCCGGAAAAATAGTCGCTGGCGCCTTGGAATTGCCCATCACCGCCTTGCGGTAATCGAAACTTTCGGAGTAATTTATCCGAAAGTTTTCGTTCAGAACTTCAAGATTCTATGGGGGACCTGATCCAGTGGCAGAAAACGTACCATTTTGCATCCGGGAAGTATCAAAAATGTGGCAAAATGCTTCCCTCTCCAAGTGAAAAAACTCAGATTTCAAAAGCGCGCCCGCTCTTTTTGTGAGGAAAAAAGCACACCCTTCAAAACATGGTTTTTTCACTTGGAAAGAGAGGCATTTTGCCACATTTTTGATACCTCCCGGATACAAATTTGCCACTGGATCAGGTCCCCCACTGTAGGCCTCCAAGATTCAAAGAATGTTGGCAACCAGTGTACAGTAACCTTCTCTCTTGTACAAAAATCACTCTCCCACGCCCTTATGACTTTCTCCGATCTTTGTTAAAAATCTCTGGATTCGAACATCATTAGCCGGCAAAGCCGGTTACATGGTTAAGTCGGTGCAAAATTTATCCGTCGGCTTTTAGAATTCCACGTCAAAAGCAAAGATCATAAAATACTTTGGGAAATTGGTTTTTGTATTCACTCATGTAGCGGAGAATGTGAATAAGACGACAAAAATATTTTGTGACACTTGCCTACAAACCGGTCTAGAATTCCATTCTGTTTGGGAGGCTGTAAAAGGGGATTATGGGATATGAAAACAAAAAATTTTGGTCTGTCGGGAAAATAATGAGCACTCTGTCGCAGCGGAAATCACATCACCGCCGAGAAAATGAATTGTGTCAAGTTTCTAAAATCAAGTTTCTTTTCATTTCAGCGACGCGAAACAATGACCACAGCGATCTTGTGGTCATTATTTTCCCGACAGCCTGATATCAGAGAAACGCAGAGTGAATCACTATCAGTGTTTTTGAAAATTTGTGAATATATAGATCGATACGACGCGTAGGGCAAGTGGACACCCAAAAAAAGTTTGTGGGAAGTGCGTACGAGGCCTGGCAAAGCCGTTGGGTGGTCGGTAGACGCTCGGCAAAGGCTCGGCGGAGACTTGGCAAAGACTTGGAAAGTGCTCACTTTTTCTAGTTTTAGCTATCATTACTAACGTTAGATTTCTTTACCCTGAGTTACTGTAGCATATAAGAGACCAAAATTTGCGGCAAAAGAACAAAGATCCGTAAACTTTATGTTAAAATTATCGATGTGAGTACATGTAAATCACCTCAAAATGGTGTTAAGATATCATTGTACCCACATAATCTTATTATTTCTACTAACCAAGGCCTTGCTAAGCTTACCCCATGCATAAAATGACAAACCGACGGCACCCATAGTATCGTTGCCCTAAACTATCGTGACCCGAAAATTCGTAGCGCCATTTTTTTCTACAACGTCATGCAATAAATTCTCATGATTTCCTGCGCCGAACTACAAATGAAAAACTATCTTCAACGTATACATGTTTGTCTGGGGTTCAAAAAAATTCTGCATAGGGGCCTTAATGAAGAGAGCATCCAGATTTGGACTAGTGTGCTTTGGATCCGACCTCTCTGTAGTTCGAATCCGATTTTACGTCGTAATCGTCTCGGGGTGTAAATTGAGACAATCGTAGGTGTTGTTCATGGACCTCGTGGTCTTTTGCACCCCTTTCCCCCCGATTTCCGGAAAGTGAGAAGATGTAATTACAGTACGTTGACATTTGTTGTACAACCAATTACAAGAACTCGGCGTGTACCGAAAGTAAACACGAGGCAAATTACATCTTTCCAGTGGACAGTTGGCATTTAAACTTTGCCGCGGGGGATGTTCTAGGAACCAGAAGCAAACTTTTTTTTACACTGCGAACGCCCAAATGGGGATTGCGAAGGAAATGGGTTTAGTGGTCAAAGATCACCAAATACTGTATTGTTTGTTGTGTTGGGTGTCAGTGCAGTCGGACGCAATTTGACCCTAAAGCCATTAATAAGGCAGAAGGTTTGAGAAAAGGCGGCTTCTGGAAGCGAACATAGCTTTAAATTAATAGACGCAAACCATATGAGCTACGTCGACAAAGGGTTTGAAGCCCAATTTAGGAAGTACCAGTCTGTCGGGAAAATAGTGGCGGGTCTTTTTCCCGACACACTGATCTATTAAGAGTCTAATTTAAATATCATAAATCAGACTCTCAATTTTTATTAGCCTCGTCCAGAATGGAATTGTCATCTTTTTGACAGCATCTTTACCGCTTAATTATATTGTCTTGGATTCTTGAAGCGGCCCTTCTTCTACAGACTAGACTACGATAAGCATCTACACAAAGTGCGCGTAAACTCGCACTGCATTTTCACCGGAAATTTGCACAGATGATTTTTGGCGTTTACACTATGCAGGAAAAGTCATGGTGCGGGCGACAGCCCAAAAAAGCGGTACGATGCAAAGAACCGAAAATTGCACAGTGCACATTGCAAATGGACTGACAGTCTGTCGGGAAAATAATAAGCACGATATCGCTGGGCCAATCTCGTCGCTGAAGTGAGCAATTTGATTTTGCCTTGTCACCATTGATTTGCTCGGTGGCGATGCGATTTTCAATGCGACATATTGCGCATTATTTTACCGACAGACTGGTATAGTATTGTACATACTTTAACGTTACATTACTGTTTTTTTTCTCCGAAATAAATCCCGATCTGAGTATATAATTAAATTAATTTATTTAGTATAATATTATGGTTTCAGTTTACCCGTATACAGCCAACCTCAAAACACTGATGATTACAATTGCTGCAGAAGCAAAAAAAGATCGTTACAACACATAGGCATCGCGACTGGGCAGTGAGATCGAATAAATAATATATAAGCTTCTAACGATTTTCAATTAGAAGTAATGGACTCGTATTCTTGGGCTTCCGCCGGAAATTTTTGCAAATTATTTTCAAACAAAAAAAAGATGCATAAGCTGCATGGAGATTGAGACCAACATAGATTACAACGCAAGGCCGCAGGGCATGCGGAGAGAGGGGGGATAAGGGAAATGCGACAGGAAATTGATATTTGCAGGGGGACGTTGCAAAGGGTTAAGGCAAGTGTTGATGATGTAGAATTATGTACACAGGCATGGATGAGAGGGGCATGAAAGTGATGGTGGTAGGGATATATGACATGATCAAGTGATTTGATCAAAGGGTAGTATTTTTGGGAAGAAAGACGACGGATTTTGAGGGAAATGATGAAATTTTTGAAAATGATGACTTTAGCTTTCAAAAAATAATTTTTTCAGATGAAACGTAAAGATTTGCCCTCAAAACCACCAAAATTAGAAGTAAGAGACAACAAAGAAGAAATAAATATTACAGCGTGTTCAGCTTCTGACTGTGAGATCCTCAAACTCTGCCATGAACTTCCACAAGTCCATCAAGTTCAATATTAGCGCAGATGAGATCAAAGTCTACCCGATCTTCTTTCTTTACTGCATATGCCTCCAGCGATTCCTCAGGTTTCTCCGGCGCTTCCGGTTGCCTTCGGTGCGCTCGCCGAGCGGGAAGTTGCCGTGTTTGGCGATGTCGCCGCCCGTCGTGTCGTCCTTGAAGTAGACGACGCAATTCACGGGCGTAAAGAAGCAGCGGCGGTCGTAGCGCGTCGCTCGTTGGAACTGTTCGTTGAGTTTGTCATCATTTTCGAGGACATAGGTCATTTCGAGCTCCGCCTCGGGCCGACTGATGTGTCGGGTGTGTCGCGCGTGGATGGCGGCGTTTGTGAGGGTGGCGAGAAGGAGGAGCAGTACGGTACTGTGCATTTCGAACATTGTGAAGGGTGTAGGGCTGAAAAATTTTTTGATTAGTATGGATGCGGTAAATAGAAGGTGAAATTTCGAGACAAAGCGAGTAGTTTTTTTTTGGAAAAAGTTGTTAAACGAGTAAATGTACGGTAAATGGTGATGGTAAAGTCTGCCAGTCCTATTCGAATCAAGTAAAAAATGGTAATAAAAGTCATGCTCGTCAGCAATAGAGACGGATAACAATAAAATGCGCATTAAAAATCCATTAAAATCCCCTCAGGCTACTAAAAATTCGTATAGCAAAAAAAATCAGGCATTTTATTTAAATTGAGCCTTCATGGAGCGGCCGCAAGTAAAAGTTTTGGCTTCCAAATGGTCGCTGTTTCTTCGCAAATCTCTCGGTTCGCTATTAATGTGCTACCAGGGATAATATCATCACTGCAAGGGGTCCTAAGATGTAAATATTTAAAGTCATTTCCGATAAAAAAGGCCAAATTACAGGCCATAAAATTTTTTGAAATTAGAGGGATATTTTTCTAATTTTTACAGTACAAAAAGTTTGCTAAAACCTCTCAATTTTACCGGTCTGTCGGGAAAATAATGAGCACGATGTCGCTGTGCCTATCGCTGAAGTGAAAAGCAACTTGATTTTGTCGCGACACAATTCATTTTCCCTCCGGCAATGCGATTTTTAATGCGACAGATTTCCCGTTATTTTCCCGACAGCCTGCTATGTAAAAAACTACTTTAACAAACCCCAAGACAGTAAAATTCCGCCTACAGCTTGTCAGCTCAAGTCATCGCCGAAGTTCGGCCGCCACTTACAACCGCCCCAACGCCGAGTCGAAACTAAACAAAATGTTGACTTGTCGCAAAAATTTGTGGAATCCCTCGGCCCCGCCTCTTTTATAGAGCGCCGCGGGCGGATTATCGAGCGAGGAGAAACGGGTGGTTTCTCCGCTTTGCTGGCGGCAGGTAGAAAAACACGAAAAGGGGGCGGCGCCTCGGCGGCCGTAAAAACAACAAGCACCGTATGCCGGTGGTGGGGGGTTTCGTAAATAATACGGCTAAACGCTGGGAATGACGAATTCGTGGCGGCGGTATTTTTAGAGAATCCGAGAATTTTTGGGACGTCTTCAAAACCGCTAAAAGATTGGCTGAATAACAGTGCAAGTACTTCACACTCACCGACAAAACGACGCTGAGTTTGGTCGGTGAAATTGGGCACAAATTTCCCTCAGTCTGTCGGGAAAATAGTGAGCACTCTCTCGCGATGAAAAGCCGAAAATATAATGAGGTGTCGCGACAAAATCAAGCTGCTTTTCAATTCAGCGACACGAATGTCGCAGCGACATTGTGCCCACTATTTTCCCGACAGACTGAGAGGTTTTTTTTGGAAAACAAATTGGAGATTTTTAGCGTGAACTTTGTAGAAACGATTAAGATTTTTAGGCGGAAATACGGAAAAAATGGAACCATTTTTTGCGAACTTTGAGATGAAAAGTTCCATCCAGTTTCGAGTGTTGTTGAATACTAGACGGGTCAAAAAAGCCGTCGTAAAATTCAAGGGGCACTGCGACGCATGATGAAAAAATTTTTTTTGAAAAGGGCAATCAAAATCACAGTGGTCCCTTTTTCGCGCGACACAAGGCGAACGCATGCGCTCGCACAGTGCCAAAACATGTTAAGGGTTCTTGACCAGCCTAGTGTGGTGCTTGATGGCACAAATCGAGAATGATTTTTCCAAGACATATGCGAGAAGCCTGGCTTACAATTTGCAGAAACGATTGAGATTTTAAGGCCTAAATTTGGGACAAATAAGCCACCTTTTTGGGAATTTTGGCTTGAAATATTTCATACCTGTTTATACCAAAGAGGATAATGTTTCCACGAAAAATCAATTTTTTCTGCACGAAGCTGTCAAAGATATGGCCAAAAAGTGTCTTTCTCTCTGGCCGCAATCCGCTCTTCTCGCATTGTTTTGGTCTCAAAAGCGCTGAAAATCTACATTATCACTGCAAAGCGCAAGCTAAAATTTTCAGAAATTGATATGTGGCTTATGCCAACTTGTTCGTAAAATTTAATGAAAATCTGAGCGTCGTTTTAATGAGAACCTTGAACAATTGCCCTGTAATTTCCCGAACACATGTTGTAGAATGGAGGAGGAAAACACCATGATAAGAAAGTTGCGAATGGAATGTAAACATGATGTGGGAAACAAAGAAGCTTATTTTTTACATTCATGCCAGAAGGGAAGCACTCAGGGTTTGATTGCTCGTATTTCGTTGACAACGAAATATGTGGTCTAGCAAAACAATACAACCAAATGTACAACAAGTTGCAAGAAACAAGAAAAATAAAATTCGTTTTAGAAGGGCTTTGTTGCCCAAAGGCTGGTATGTATTTTTGGCTTAAAATTGACAAAAGAACCCTCAAAAAATGTTTGTTGTAGACAGTTTTTACCTTTTTATTTTACAGGAATTTGTTGTAAAAACCTCGACATTAAGTCAATTTTCAGTCTGTCGGGAAAATGATTAGCACACTGTCGCATCGAAACTCGCATCGTCGCCGAGAAAATCGAATGGCTTTTCGCTTCAGCGAAGAAATTGGGGCAGCGAAATTGTGCTCATTATTTTCCCGACAGACTGGAGAACCAAAAAAAAAGTGAAATGCATGGTGAGGTGCGGGCTGCAAACATGTCCATGCACTTTATGAAAATGCTAATAGTGGTGGCTAATACTCGATATTGTCTGTAGAAGAAAGGCCGCTTCAGCAATCCGAGACAAGGATATTGAGCTGCCAAGATGTCGCCAAAAGGACCGTTATATCCGACACTTCCATTCTGACTGAGGCCAACAAAAATTGACGTTGTAATTTATGATATATCACAGCAACATTATCCACATTATTTTTCCGACAGACTGGTAGTGAAGCTCATCTTTTGCATTATCCCCGCTCCTCCATGCCAAGCCCCGATACTCAACGCGTTTTTGCAGACAAGATACTGTGAAAAAATTAGGGAGACAAGTATTATTTTGACTGTAAGTTTGCGAACTCTTCGCGAGAAAGTGAACCCATCGCTCTCTTTTGCAGAAATGAGGATAAACTTGCGGAGTTTGCACTAAGGGCCTCATCCGAGCATTTTACGTCAAACAAGGCTCAGATTTTGATAAAACCTTGCCTAAGTTTAGAACATCTTTTCCGAGACATATGAGAGGATTTTTGCATGCGCTTTGCAGAAACGACCGAGATTTTGAGACCAAAATTTTCCAAAAATGTAAAATTTTTTGTAATTTTTTAAAGTTCCATGCCATGTCACGACTTCGCGTGCGAATTAGCATATTCCCACGGAATGACCGACAAATTGGTATAAAAGGGATGGAAATCGTCCAATCATTTATTATTTCGTTTCTGTCTTTTCCCGGTTGTATGTTGTTTGGAGCAATAAACCGTCGTAGTTCTACTGTTGCCTATTATTGACTTGTCTATGGTCAACTCTTGTGTCGTGGAGTCAATTATTGTGAGTTAATTAGTGAAGTTGTTTCCTGAGTTTAGTTAGTCGTTTGTCTAAGTTTGTGTAGTCGTTTGTATGGTATTGTTCGAGCTTGGGATCAGAAATAGCAACTAGAACAGGGGTCCTTTATACACGCGCTCTCACTGAACTCGTGACAGCCAAAAACCCCCGTTTTTTTTGCACCGTGCGTTCACCTTGTTTTTGTCTTGCGCGGTGCATGAGACTTGTCGCTGCGACATATGCTTTTTTTCAACTTCGTGGTCGTGGTTTTTGCACAGTGCAATCGGCCTTTTGTGAGGTTTGCACGGTGCGAAAAGGGAAACTGCACTGTGCGTTGGCGACAAGCGTGAAAAAAATTGATGCACTGTGCGAGGGTGAAAAATGTCAATGGCGTTCGCACTGTGCGAAAAAAAATTTGCGACAGCCAAAAAAATCCATGCACTTTATAAAAACGCTAGCATAGCCGATTTCGGTCCAGCGACTTTTCGAAAGGACCAGAATTTGATGTTATCGGACACGTCATCGGAAAAAAATCCTTTGAATTATCCTCCGTATTTCACAACAAACCCAAAACCTCGCTATTTTTAGTCCACAAGGGATCTCCGAAACTCTCGCCCTTTTTCTGTTGCAAAAAAAATTCCGATTTTATGATCTCCGCTCGCCCGAATTTTAAACCGCTCAAGGGCGCGTTTGCATCAAACTTTTGTCACCGACGTATTCGTTGGACTCTTGCTTATGCGAAATCCGATTATCGGTCAAAGGTATAGTATTAATTTGCGGCGATAAGTGGGCACAGATCACGGCTGTGCCATGAGATGCCACTTGTGCTTAAGCACAATTACAGCCAACCTTTTACGTGATAAACTGCAAAATGTCAAAAATATTTTTTTTCTCACAGTTAGTTATGTTTTGTTGTATGCAAATGTTTTGTTGTATGGTATGTAGGTTCATTGTGGCCTAAATTTGACTTGTGGACCTTAAAAATCGTTCATTACGGAAATTTTTTGTTGTATGGAGGTTCATTTCGGCTTAAAGTTGAGTTTTGAGATTTTAAAATTTTTTTGTTATAGAGAGGTTTTGTTGTATGGAGGTTTATTTTTCCAGAAACTTTTCTTATCATACCATGTTGGTTGCACAAAGGATTTGAAGATTAATTTAGCACTGATATCGAGTCTCACAATGCCTTGCATTGTAAGCAACCACGTGGTTTTTTAATCCTATTCTTTATAAGACCTTCGAATCAGCGGTTTTCTTGATAAATATTGTAGTAGATATGGCGGAACCTCTGAAACGACAAACCCCCTTTTAACGACATCTACCTATAACGAACAGTCTCTCAAAACAGCCTTTCTACAACAAATAGATTACTTTTTTCCATAGCGATTCGTTGCACAAAAGCTTATATGCGAAACTTGCGCCAACTTATGACATGACTATTTTTGCATCGCATAAGCCGTTATATCGGCTTAGAGGTAGGCGTGCGCGCATTCCGGAGCCACTCCTGTTTTTCTTCGAAAAGAAAATAATAATTATGCAAATTGGTAATCTC